TTAATTTTGATCTTCCGAAATTTCCTTAGATTTGTCTGCACCTGGTTTCATAAAGTTACTTCTGAAAAATAGCTAAATCTCTGTTCATTTTTGTTTGTTTTAATACATAGATTAGCAACCATCTCAGAATTCATAGACTCATTACATACAGTATTATGAGTAAATGCATATACTTTAAAAAAAAATTGCTTATGTTTGAGAAAATGTTCATTAAAAAGACCATGTAAGAGAAGGCTCCATGTACAAGCATAAGCATATTAAGATCTAATTTCATCACTTCAGCAGGTTTGACTGGGACAAACTCTTCCCCTTTTGGGGTTGCCTCTACTACTGGATGTCTTCAGAGGGATTTTCAGCACCTAGATAACGTTTCTGCACATCAACATGATTTTTTGTTTTGCAAGAATGAAATCTATTTATTAAAATATGAGAGAGGAAATTAAATAGAAATAAATATGAATTATTACATATAAAAATATTCTGAGCATACTATTAAAGCAGCTTTTTTCTTCTTTAATTTTACTAATCTTGAAAAGTTATGTTATAGTAAGTGATTTCATATAATAATGTGACAGTGATATCTTATTGTCGAGTTTAGAATATATTTTCAGTTTACAACAGTGGGTTTAAATAAACATTAATTACAGCACAATTCAGGCATAGTTCCAAAGGGGTCCCAGACACAATTATTTCAAATGCCGTCAGCATTTGAAGTTGAAAGAAGTCCACAATTCGTTTACAGAGCGAGCTTTGGCACTATCTGAGCTAAAGTTAAACTTTTGATTTAGCTGCTAAAAATACTATAACTACCTTAAATTTTACACCTTTCCCAATATTGCCTGTGGTACATTGAATTTGTTCCACTGTTGACATTTTTCATCCATAAATGCCACAACAGTTTTGAAAATTGGTTTTAAACACTTCAACAACTAATATTAACTTTGCCTCACACCTTAATGGAGTTTAAGTTGCAGGGGGAAAGCTGAAAATGTGTTAGAGCAGGTCAAATAGCTCTTCAGTGAAAATAGTACTGACAGAAACATATATTCTTTCTTTCGTCCTTCATTTCTTTCTTTAGTAACCACAAATGATTCTATGACTTTAAAGATGCATAAGTATATTTAACAAATGCTGTACAAGCTATTAGTGTTTAGTGCTCAAAGGTTAATCAGAATAAATCTTACAATTTCAGTTTAGTTCTTAATGGACTCTACTTGACAATGCAAAATGAATATAGGACTATTTGTCACATTCAGTTATCATTCTACTTAAAGACCAAATGCCATGGAATCGGAATGAAAAGATAAAATTTCTCTGAATTATTAGTTCTGAAAGCTGTCTTCTAAAGCTTTATCCCCCATGAAATGTTCACATAGGTTAAAAAAACCCTTTTTATATGTAAAGATACATTGACTATATGATAAAGATAGGCATAATTTTATATATGAGGTGTACAGAAACTGCATAAATTATATTTAATACATCTGAATTATTGGAAATCATTGAATAAAGAAATTAGTTGGAAGAGGTGCATAGGTCATCTAGTCAATGAGTTAATTAAAACAATGCAAACCACTACTGTTTAATAGTGATAAAGACAAACCTTGAAATCTTTCAATCATAGTGAATCAGCCATTGTTATAGTCAGATTGTCCAGTAATTTTTAAATCAAGATTTCCTCCTATTTCTCAGCTTTTTATGTATTAATCTATTCATGCTCTTGGTTTCAACAGATAGATGTTTGATGTATCTTACACATGAAAACTTAGATACTTGTAGACCATTAACGTATTTTCTTTGCATCTTTTCTTTTGTCATATGGAAATACAGTGTCATTTTTAACTAGATATGTTAAGATTACTCTATTCACTTACTAGTGGTATAAAATATTTATTGCGGCATTGCAATCCCATATTAGATTCATGGCCTTTCCTTTTCTTTGTAATAATGATTCAGGCTTCTTTTCCTCCTTTGCCTCTACCTTTATGAATACCAGGACATCATTAGGAGGATCATAATGAAAATAAAATCTGTTAGATTTATATCCTGACACTTGCGCGCACGCGCGCACGCACACACCCTTACACCCTCCCCTTAAAATCCAGGGCAGATTGCATAATGCTGTCTTCTTTTTTCTTTCTCCCACAGTAAACATGTGGAATAGGTAACACTGGGGAATAATGACTAAGTTCAATTTATCCAGTGAGCTCCAGTGAGCAAATTTCCCTGAAAAGCAGGAACAATTGCCATTGGCACCCATCCTCCCCCCAAAAATCATTTTTCTAATTGTTAGCATCTTAATTTGTATGAGTAGCTGCTGCTTTCCAAATCTGGATTTGAAGACGGGTCTCTATAAGCACATATTTGTATTTTCTCCCACTAATTCTGTATATAGATTTGCCATTGTAACTCTGTTTAAGAAATTTAAAACTGAGATTTATGTTGCTTTATAGATGTGCAAGAATATTATTTCCTTGATTTGATTGTATCAGTAAATAAACAATTGTTTGTTTCAGGATAGTAAGTAATAATCCAATATACTTATGGTTAGCCTATTGATTAAAACTAAATTTGGAAGCATTAAAATTGACAACTTATTTTGTTTGTTACTTGGATTGTTTTTGTATCTAGCAAAGTGTCCCATGTTCAGTTATGTATCAATTAACAAATTAATTAATTAAAATACAAATGTGTCAACTTATTTGTCTGCATGGAAAGTCATAGAGAAACTCAAATACAGTTAATTTAATTCCATTAATATATGTGTTCCTCTAAAAGATGCAATCTAATTTCTTTTAGAAACCTACATTCATATTAGTCATGCAGAGCACTGTGATCTCAGATAGATTATTTACAAAAGCATTGTTCTAAGTAGCACCAAGCACAAAGGAAACATTCAGTTGTAACAGTCCTGTTGTAAACTAGTGTCTTATTTTGGGTAATTGATAGATCAGTGGCTTACTCTGGCCCAGCCATGGTAACAGTCATCTGAATGTAAAGGAGATACAGGCAGTAAATGTTAATGAGATGGTGCTAGTTCAGAATACACACATGTGCATGTGTGTGTGTGTGTGTGTGTGTGTGTGTGTGTATTTATGTCTGTATGTACATATGCCTTCTGTTTCCCATTTTCCATATTTTCTATTTCTAATACATAAAGATTATTGCAAGGAAAAGTAGAGATGGTGGCATTTAATGTCCTAGGTAATATTTTCAGAGTACTTTTAAAAGTTACTGACAATATGTACACAAAGAATATTTTATTTCAGAGAAATCTTCCAAAGTTTTTGCAAAAGCTCCTGCTCCTTTTTTTTTTTCTTTTTGGGGAGGAGGGGAACAGAAATGTATGGCTGTGCATTTTAAGTATTTTTCTCTATAACATCAAAACTTGCATCAGGGGAATAACATCGTATGTCAGTTGTCTCCTTCACATCAAAAGAAATATTTTTCTTCTTTACAGAAATAGAGGACAAAGCCAACTTGGAAAAAAACATTAATTATATCAAATGTTCCATACTTGTTTCAGTAAAATGATTTTAAAATCTAGTATTGACTAGTTGCTTTTTCATACTTTATATTAAAGTGATTAAACTAATAAAATATTAGTTAATAAATAAAAATATTATTTTCCATATTCCTTCAGCTTCCTTGATCCTTATTTTCTTTGATCCTTCAATTGCAACAAAAATCCAAAGAAAGCTTCTGAATTTCATAAAAGCATTTGAAGGTTAAACACAGCACCCATCAATAATACTAGGTTACTAGTTAATGAACTGTCTAACACATCAAATTCAGCTAAGAGAAACTTTCCTTGATTTTGAAAATGTACAGAATAAAGAAACATATAGAAAACATACAAATTCACACTTTGCATTATTCCACGATTTTTTTTAATAAACCCCAGTTGGCTAAGTCATAACTTACACTTATTAACTCCAATGATTTGTTTTTAAAATCCCTCTAAACTATAAGCAGGCAAACCATACTGTCACGTTCTTCAGTCTGTATTTTCAACCCCAGTGGAAAAAATGGCATTTGTGTTAAGCATTTATATTTTTTTAGATGGTGAATTTAAGCTTCATTGTAGATAATAATAACTTGAAGAGGACTCATATAAACTGGATAATTATATTCATGTGAAGAACCAGAGAACTGATATTTCTGCGATTGTTGCTGTGTCTGGTGAATATTTCTGTCCAGCAAATATACTGTATAATCCTTTATATTTGAGATTTCATTCATTAACACACATGGGAGTATATCCTTGTATTTACTCACCCATAAAAGATAGCCCTATTAAGATGTACTACACTCACTAAAAAAAAAACAGTATTTTTTTATTTTGCTCGAAAGCTCTTCTGATTCATTATAAACTACCTTACCACTGAGATATCAGCAATCCTTTAATATAGTTATAGTGTTCAGTGATTACAATAGTTACAATTATCATAAACTCTTTCAAACAAGATGAATGTCCATATTGCATATCTAAGTAGTACAGTTTCAATCCATGTACTGGTATGTATTTTTGTTTTGCTTTGGGAGAGTTGCTTTATTTTTATTTTTTACTTCTTTATTTTATTTTAGCTTCTTTTTTTTTTTAGTATGGTGGGCAAAATGCAATCAAAAGCTCTTAGCTAACTTATCCAGAGATCTTTTTTTACTTCAGTAGTGAGCTCCCTGATGTGCTTTCATCACTATGTGTGGGCTAGGACCAATCTCAATTTCTTTACATAGTATTAGGATTTATCCATTTTAAATTAACATATATCACATCTATTTTACTTAGGGATCTGCATGATATATGATTTTAGAATGGGCTTTAGAATAAGTTCATTACTAATCCAATAGTGAGCTCCTGACAGAGGCAAAAACTAACTGGCTGCATCTTCTGTAGGTGTCTATGAATACTGAAGTATGAATTTTGTAACTAACTGAGTACTGTGCAGTAAGAAATTTAATAAGAGCTTGTGCATGGTGTGTCATTTCTCTTCCTTCAGGCAAGGCAGTTTTCCTGTCATCAATCAGAGTGGCATTATGGGATCCAGCTCTCCATACACCCAACCAATGAACAGCAACTCAAGTCTGATGAACCCTCAAGCTTCTCCTTACAGCATGGCACCTAACATGGTGAACAGTTCCACAGGTAATGACTGGTAAAATTTCAATGAGTAGCAAGCTGCTTTTTCAAAGGTAGAAACCTTTAAAGTGTTTTTGATAGTGGTACAATTGCATATCCATGTCTCAAAATCCTGCTGTAAGAATTTGAAAATTCCCAATCACTTTGCCAACTCCTAGATATATCTCCGCCATATCTCTACTTTCTCTTCTTTGTTTATTGAAAACATGGATTTTGCCCATTTGACAGGTGGCAGGTCTAGAAGAAGACTTTTGCTTAAAATGTAGCAGGGATCTTGAAACTAGGATTCCTATGGTTAAACAATATTTTTAGCCAAAATAACTGAGTGTGTCTCATAATATGTCTCTTACCTACCTCAAGTATAACTTTCTGAAAAACCCAGGTAGTATATTTGTCTATTAAAATAGAAAGAAAATGGACTTTTTCCAGTAAAATTGAAATGTTGCTTTACATTTATTTTTGTTTGCAGGAATGTCATTGCAAGGCATATTGTTCCCTGCAAGATTATTCAGTTGCTCATTTTCATTGCTGTAATATTCGGGCTTACATTGTCCATTTCATCTTTTTCCCTCCAATGACAGTGTCATAATGGGGTTTTCCAACAACTATGTTGTGTTGAGTTATAAATTAAAAAAAGACTATTTAGTCATTTGTATGGAATACTTTCCCAACAAATAGGCAGACAAGGGACATTTGTACTTAACCCTCCTTTTTTTCTCTTCCCATAACCTTTTAAAGTTTTTGTTTGCATATTTTTGGTCTTCTGCAGTATTTTTCTGGGAGCTGAAAATTCCCATTATTGGCCTATGGCCTCATAATGCCTGCTTCTTCTTTGTTTTACCCTGTATGCAACTATTTAACAGAGGTACTCCCAATGGTCTTATTGATAATGGTTTTATGTTGTGTTTTCAACAAGGATAAGGAGAGGAATGAAAACTTTTAATCATACAGGAAGGGTTTTTTTAATATAAAATAAAATTGCTTCTTTTAGTATTAGGCACAAGCAGCACACTTTTACTCCAGTTGAAAAAGGAAAAGTCTTGTTGAGCAAATGATAATCATCTGCTTACTCCTCACCAAAGCTACCCTAGGTATTACTGTGTTTGGGTTGTGTAGTTACCTATTTTGTCTGCCTGGCTGAAATAAAATTACTTTTGAGCATTGAAACTATGCTATAAATTCTGGCGTTCTGCTTAGCAGCTGTAATTTTTTAGCCTAACCTCTTTGGCTTCTAGATCTGCAAACATCAACAACAAGCAAACAGATAGTAGAATGTCCTGCCTAGGTAGATTTATGTATTACAAAAGAATAACCAGTTTTAAGAAAGATACACAGGGTGATTTTTTTTCTCCAGATAGCTCAGCCATTTATTACTTTATACAGTGGAAATCTATTCAGTACAAAAGCATTTATCATATGTCTTTTGTATGCAGTAGTCATTGTATTTTCATTGTATTACACATTCTGAAAAATTGAGTTTTTACAGTAATTTAACCATAGAAGAGAATATATGTAGCTCAGGATTGAACTTTGGAATCCTTGTGCTCTCTGAGCTTGATTGTTTTCTGGCAGATATTTCATTACCCAATGAGGCAGCAGCATCAGTGTTAGAGTGTGAGATTTGTTCCCTATTTATGTATAGTAGCTTATCTTCCCAGTGTTGATGAGCGTATGATTTTCTCCTAGGTAGTTCCTTGATTGGGGTATTGTTTTCTGCTTACTTGTTCTTCCGGTGCTAATCCCTGCTTATTTGGGTGTTGGCTACTTCAAAGGATGTGTTCTGGTCTTTCTCTTTCCTTCTTAGCTTTTTTTATTATCTCTTTTGAATGATATGCAAATGTGTTTATTTCTATGTGTCTATTAATGGCTGATTTACCTGAATATCAAGCTCCCAATAATTCCCTAGCTTTTTTGTATTTAGCTTGGTCTAGGCTGTTTCCAAGTGGAAACTATGGTTGAGTCTGTCCATGTGTTGTGAGATGAAGGACTTTTCATTATGTCTTCTGACTCCTAGTTGGTGTTAAATTAAAATAATACAATATTAAAATCCCATCAAACAATTTTTAGAAGCAATAGAAGCAGTGAATAGCAGTGAATGCATCAATTTTAATTTTTAATATGGCAAATGTTGATAAATGTAAACCAGGGAAACAAAAACTCTTTTATGCTCCTCCATATATTTTTTTTTTAAGTGGAAAGGGGTCTTGAGAGAAAAAAGTTTAAAAATCATTGACTTCAGTGAATCTTTCCCAACTTTGTCATCCTTCAGATCTGTGAATGTGAAGCTGCAGAAGTTGCAGCAATAGCCATAATTGCTGGGACATTCTTAAAGTTAAAGTCCACATATTTGGATGGTACCAGGTTGGAGCAGGTGCAAAGTTGTTTTAGTTGTATTTTTTAAATTTTCTCGAATTAAGTAATTTACTAGGGTTATGCAATGCAAACAAAACAGCATTGATGTATTGGTGTTGCTCCACAGCAACAACAGAAAATAATCCTAGCTCAAGAATTTTCCACCAGCCAGGAAGGCTTAGCCAAGCTACCGTCTTTCTCTTTGATTCTGAACACATGCAAAAATTTTCAGAGACCTCTATATATTGCCTCAAAAAAGGACATTGTAGTTCTGCCAATAATGGTTTAATAGAATTATCCAAAGACATTAATTCAGATAACTGGCACTTTAACTATCTCTCTGTTCCATTAGAGCAACATAGAAGATAAAGAAAATACCCCTCAGATGATCTTGGAAGATAGGAAGCATTTCAAGTAGCCTCTTGGGTAGAAATGAATTGTTATAGGCCTTAGTAATTAAATAATTATTGAAAGAGAAACAAAAGTGGGTATGTATATAACTGCCTTTGCAGTTATAATGCCAAGGAAAAAATGGCGAGCACAAGAAATATTTCATTTGAAAAGAGGAATTAAAATTTTATTTCATGACTATAACTTGATTTTCTTTTCCTTTTCCCATTTCTTTGTCTTGTAGTTCACTTACTGGAGATAAATTTTCATTATGCTTGTTTTAGTAAAAAAAAAAAAGGTATTGCTTAACAATATTGCTGAGTCTGTATAAACTTGCCATTAATGTAATTATATTTTAAGGTAATTTTTGTTCTAGCCACAAACAGTTTCTTCTATTTTTGCTTAAGAAAATTGGCACAAAATATTATATTTGGCTTTACAGCTTTACTGCTGCTCACTTCAGCAGTTCTGTTCCAAGCAAAGCATATCTGCCACTTTGGTAGTCATTTGCCTCGATCCAGGAATCTGTCTACCCACAAAGAGTGTTCAGGCATATTTCAGAAAATATAGGACCTCTAGCTATGAGAACATAGAGAGTTTGTGAATTTCCTATGCTGAGAAAACTATTCGGTGGTAATGTAAAATAATGCAAGCTACCGACAATGGATTTAGATCTCAGAACCAATCTTTTCCTCAACCAACCTTTTCATTTTGCAAAAACACCTGCATAAAGGATTTGTGGGATGATACCACAATGCAGTCACAACATCCTGAGCTGAACTATGAGCCATTGTGGTGCAAAGAGGAGGCATCAAATGTAATGGATAACCCAGGATACTACATTGGAAGTATTATTTCTAGGAACACCATTAGATTGAGTTCCTGCTATAGAGGGAGTGTAATCCCATCCAGGCTAGCCAATTTCCCCATTTTCAAGATCAAGAAAAGGTGAACTGGCAAGCTCATATCGCAATATCTCTCAGCACATTCTGGATTGTGTCCTCCTCTTTTTGTTTTCTGCTATCACACATTACTTCAGCCATTTCCAGACTGCTTGTAAATAAGAATTTTGGATAAGTAAACATGCATACAGTTTTGTTAGATTTTAATATCAAATAGTAGGGGTGAATAGGCTCTTTATAGATTGGCCTCAAGAAAAGAGATCATCCTCTGTCTCAACACTCAGTAGGGACTGGATATATTTGTGGCCTGACTCACTATAAGATAGTTAAATGTGGCATAGTCATCAAAGTGTTATTCTTTAACCAGGGTAAGTCAAATTCAAACCCATCTTTAACCATGAAGACTCTCTGGTGGTTATCAGCCTTCCCTCTCAACCCAACCCACATTACAAAGTTGTACTGATTTGGGGGGCAAAATAAAAGGAAACCCCATGTAAGATCCTATTAATTCTAGAGGGCAGTAAGGGATATATATCTAATGTGCATAATTCAATTGCTGATATATTAAGATTTTTATTGCTTTTAGCAAAGTTGCTTGAGTTGCCACTAGCATTGAAAACATTTTCTGACATCTACAACAATATCCTTATCAGAAGATAAGGGAGAAAACACAGACCGCTTGACTGCAATATAAATTATGTTGTATTTGCCTTTAAGTGTGCTAAGTTTGGTGTGATGTAGGTCATTCAGGACCTTGACCCATATTTTCTTTTCTCAACTATCCCAACTTTCAACTTGGAAAAAGCCCAAGGCTATTTCTTGGAGCTCATTCACTCTCTACAGCAATATTTTTCAGTAATAGATGTCACAGTTATCTTCCGTTTTTACATTTTGTGTCTTTTGACAATTTATGGGCTGGATTGTTAATGTGTATGCACTGGAGTTTGCCAGAACAGTGACAATTGCATTCTTTCACTGCTTGAAACAGGGTCAAAATGATGCCCCCAGCTTGTCACTGGACTTGAAAGCAAGGGGACTCCTGAGACCTTATAAAGAACATTGCAACAAAAGATGGAGAATGCCACAAGAAAGCTAGAATTTATTATCTATTTACAAACCGCACTAGTTGTTCTTTCTCAAAATGACAGTAGCTTTGCTCTACTTGTAGCTGTGGACAATGGATCACAGTACAGATGGCAATTTTCTTGTATCCAGATGCGCTTCATAATTCACAGAGGAAACACATGTGGCAGATGCCTTATAAGCTCTCTTGCTGACTCAGGCAAGAAATAAACCAATTTCAGAGGATATAGATTGCTCATGATTCTTCTTCCATAACATATCATCCAAGATTTAGATTACACTTCTATATTCAGATTGTTCTGCTCTTGTGCAGTCATTCAAATGGTTACCTGAATAATTTAGAAGTAGCAAAAATGTAACAATAACTCATTGTTCAAGCTCCTTTTGGAAGGCTTGCAGCAGTTTTATGTACACCTAATACCGGATAACTTCGACTGGCATTATAGTCTGATTTGGGGTGGGGGGAGTGGAGAAGATGTCAGCCATACTCAAGGTGGTCTTCTGATCTGGAATCAGCATATTCCATTTTGGGAGGGCATTTTGCACTTCTTACTCATTTCATTGAAAATTACACTGGGATGTTTACCTGATCCCTAAGTCCCTTTGTTTTCTGCTATTCCATTAGTTAAGAAGAGCAATATGTTCTCCTTGTAAAGCTGTATTATAGCATTTCAATTTTACTCCCTTTTAGTTTGGTCTTCTTTGGCCTACCGGTACTGGCAGTTCACAGAGCCATATTCAATATATTGCTAACTGTATACTCCTGTGGCACATGCTGGATAGGGTTTTTTTGGCAGAGCCATTCTCCCAACCTGCAGTGAAGTGATGCTAAAAATATTAGCAAATTAGCACCATGAAGCTTGCCAGCTTATCCTCCAGAGTCTTGCTCCTTCTCTCACTGCTGTAATTAAAACTAATTATTTCCTAAAACATAGTAATACATGGATATGTGCAATAATCATTTTGTAGTGGGCAATCTGCAACGTGTTTTTAAAGCTCCCCCTTTCCCTTTGGCTTGTTCTCCCACATGTTGGCTGCTGCTTGGAATCTGCATTACCCTGTTGCAGAAAAGCAAAACAGCCCAGCAACCATAGACTGAAGCTTCTGGGTCTGTAATCACTGGCATATTTCACTAGCTCTTTTTTTTTTTTTGCCACTCAGGATTTTTACATGACTTGTAAATAGATACCAGAATACCCTGTTTGTTAGTGTTTTTAGTGCGATCTGGATCAGTCAGCAGAACCAGAGGTTTTGTCTTCCGAGCTTTGGGACTCGTGCTGGAACCCTTCCTCGGGGAACTTCTTCCTAGCAGAGTAAGAGAGAAGTTCCCTGAGGATGGGCTCCAGCACGAATGTCCAGAAGCTCGGAAGACCAAACCTCTTGTCCCGGTGATCGACCCAGATTGGATGCTGCAGCATTATCCTGGGACATCTATATTCAACTTCATCCGTGAGTGTTTTTACTGTACATTGAAGAATGAATGAAAAAAAGTAACTACTAATAGTATTTGCTGTGAGACTTTGATTTTATAGGAAACACTGAATGAATTACACACACACACACACACACACACACACACACACACACGTTATCTAGTATACACTACAGGTAGTCATCAACTTATGGCCAATCTTTAGTAACCATTCAAAGTTACTATAAATCCCTTGAAAGGTACTGACAACCCAGTTTAAAGTTCATCCTTCCAATGCAGTCACATGCACATTTTAGGCGTTTGGCAACAGCCTGCAACTGGCTTTCATTTATGGGCATTTGCCACATCCCACAGTCTCATGACTGTGAATTATGACTTTTTTGCCAAAAACAGGCATTTACTTCCAATTTTCCACAAAAAAGCTCCAAAAGCAAACAATGGGTTCATCTAATGGCTACAGATTTGCTTAAAGCCGGCAGTTTTGTATAATGACTGTAATGATTCAACTTAATGACCACCACAAAAAATCAGGTTGACACATTTTATGACCATCATGACTTACAACCCTCATGGACTGTCTCCATCACAGTCATAAGTCAAGGACTACCTGTATGGTTTTCAATTATTTCTAGAAGATATTTGTTAGTATAAGAAGAGTTGCTGTTTTTTATTTGTGCTTTAGGGTTAAATACATATAGTCACAACTGTACATCTTGGATTTTATATAGTTGTGTGTCTATGGAGTGCATCCCACAGCCATACTGGTACCTGTCCCTAATCCAAAACGGAATGTAGGAAAAGCATAGGAAAAAGAGAAGGAGAAAAAGCAATGGTCTTATAACTTACTTCTCATATGCTTCCAACACTAGGAAAAAATGAACATTTCTGAGGCATACTTCTGTGATATGGCTGCATAAGTCTTACTTGAACAAGAATTTATCAATATTACACTGCGCTGTATTCCCAACTGGCGTCTTTAGAGCTGAATGTTCATGTCAGCCACTGAGAGATCTATGAAATAATTTACCTGCTAAAGAATGTAGTGCATTTAAATCTATTGCAGGCCAAGCATTTGTTAACTAGAAGGTTGGCAGAGTATTACAAAGTGCTTAGTAATGTAATTGTAAGGATTTCATTCTACTTCCGAAACTGTAATGCATTGCAAAGTCCAATTCAGTGCCTTAATGTATTAATTGTAATAGCTGATGTGACAGCAATTGGTTTCTGTGTCTTTCTAGTAAAGTCCTATCTGATCTGTAAAGAGATCCATAGATACAGGAGTTTCATACACATACCTAGTTTTCTTGTAAAAAAAAAAGGTCTTAAGGTTAGGAATGAGAATAAAGGGAAGAGTAAATCTTTGGATTATCAGAATCATTTAAACCCATTTAAATAAATAAATCACACATTTCTTTTCTATTACAGCCCCAGCTTTCTTGGTCTTCAGTGCTTTAGGGTGCTGTTTTGTTCTGTTCAAGAATGCCCAGTATTTTGACATTTATTGTAAATGCATCTAATCACAGTAGCTTTTCAGTAGCACTGATGTTCCCTAATGAGTCACTGCATTCTGTATGCGAAAATAGTATGACTGATAAAAATTCTCATGAAATTGAACATAGTTATATTTGAGTTAACTCATCTAACACTTCAACAGTGTTTGCCAGCTCACAAATCAAAGATGGGACTAATAAAGTTGGTTGTCATTTTCCAGGATGAATGTGGCATATGTAGCTGTAAAGAATTGTGCAATTGATTCCCCTTAAAAAAACGTTTAATTCATTTTCAAAATCTATTTGCTGAGATACAAAGATCTTCCCAGCTTCCACTTTTTCTGACTGCCTCATGCCATCATTTGGGAGCAGAAGAAAGTTACCCTTAATCATGTCTCTTGTTTTCAATTAGCACCTATGGGTCTTGCAGATTTGATGACTCAAGGCGAGTCCAAATTGCCCGTTCCTCTCAAACCAGATGGAAAAGAAGAAGGACCTCCCCAGCCAGAGAGCAAAAAGGTACTTCCTTCCCTTGCATGCATTCTTGGTTTGGCACAGTAGAACTCTGTTGCTTTGTCCTTCATTCTCTGATTTGAGCTTGCCCCTTCAGTTCTTTCCTGCATGGTTCCCCACCCACCACCATTCATGTGCAATCTATTATTTTGGTTTTATTCTTTTCCTTATCTGGATCTGAAAGTTACTAGTTCTTATGGCATTACCTTGGGAGGTGGGGAAATAAAGCTCAATAAAATATTCGGGGTGTGGGTGGGGTTTCAGTTAAACCCTGAATGGGAAAAAGTGAATCTTATCTTAGCCTTGGTACTTGGCAGCCATGTTTCCTCTGTCTTCCATTATAGCTTTCTGTTTTGGCCGTTTCAATAGCCACAGCATACTTTAATTCTTTGCTTTTTTTTCCTTATTTGATAAAAATAAGATAACCAGCTTTCTTTATTTTATTTTTTTCTCTCCCCCTTTCTTTCTTTCTCTCTCTTTATCTCATGAGGGGAAACCCCTGCTTGATGCTCCATTTAGCTTGATGAAAGCATGGTGGCATAGCAGCTTAAGCTAAGCATCCAGCAATATTGCAAAATTATATGATGAATGTTATTTTAAGACATATGTATATTATACGTTGTGTCTTTTCTCTGTGTGTCTGTTTATATCTCATAGTTAAAAAATGGTCAGTCTGTTAAACTGGATGTATTTTTTTTTTCCTTTTTAATAAAGTTTGCCCTGCCTTTGTCCTTTTTTTTATTCCTCTACCACAGGATAGCTACAGCTCTCAGGGTATTTCTCAGCCCCCAACCCCAGGCAACCTGCCAGTCCCTTCCCCAATGTCCCCAAGTTCTGCTAGCATCTCCTCATTTCATGGAGATGAAAGTGATAGCATTGGCAGCCCAGGCTGGCCAAAGACTCCATCAAGCCCTGTAAGTGGCTCTGGCTTTTGTGTTTTTGGGGTTTTTTGGTATTTATTAATATTTTAATGCTTGCTTGTCTGTTTTATAGATTCTTTTGTTCATTATTTATCCACTAAAGGGTTTGTTTCATGTAAGCAGTCTAGGCTAAATTCTGCTCTTGGTTCTCTATGTGCAGCTCATCCCTTCGCTCAAGTTTAGGTAGGAGTTGAGCTTGCTTGACTGAGGGCAAAATTTGGCCCAGCCCAATTTAAAATAAAAGAGTAACAAGAAAGAAAAAAAATGGCATTTGAATGTGTTAAATAAGTTTGCCTTACTTTGTAATATAGCCGATGTTGTGAAGAAAATCTTTCTCTCGTAATGCATCAGCTTACAAAGCATGCCTTCTGTGTTGATCAGAACATTCTGTCTCTGTTATGGGGTCCAAACTCTTAGCAAACGAAGAGGATTTTCAATTGGTCATAAATAGCATAGTAATCTAAAAATTCATTTCTTCTGGTTTAGAAAACATTGTTGTTCTCACTTGTGTGCATTACAGAACAACTCAGATAATAATTTCTGAGCAGCCAAATGTACTTGCCACATTAGAAAGTTATTTTGGGAATGGGTAAAATCTTGCAAAGTGTAAATATAGATTTTAGACAGCATTTTAACAAGAACATTATTTGTTACAAAGCTTCCAGATACCAAAGCTTAACTAATTTTCCTCAATTACTTTAATTTTTATTGTAACATTAAGAAAAATATTTCTGCTTTTAAGAAATGTTTGCTGTGTGATAACATAAATGCTGAAAGGCATCACTAATTTGTTATAAAGTTCAGCAGAGTGTTTTCAACGATGTCTTGATTTTTATGTGACATTTAATAGAAATAGCATGTGAAAAGACTAGAATGAAAGACAATGTATAAAATGAAACATTATTTCTCCGCAGTATTTTTTTTAAAATATGCATCAGTAAAAAAAATGTTTAGAGGCCTTCAAAATCAGCATTCCAAATCTAGCTCATGCCAAATTGCCATCTTTAAAAACTAATTTATCTATGTACTAAATAAAATGAAAAAAAATGCTGTGACACACTCCACATAATTGCTTGTTGTTGGCAAAAAAAATTCATGGAATGTTCTGACATGATGACATGTACGCAAGATCAGCCTTCCCAGATTAGTGTTCTCAAATGTGTTGAGGTTACAACTCCGGAATTCTGCCCGCCCATCCCTTTCCTTACTGGGAGTTCTGGCAATTGCAGTTTCAGCATACTCAAGGTAATCCTTGACATACAACCACAATTAAGCCCAGAATTTTTCTTGCAAAGTAAACCAGTTGTTAAGCAAATTTTGCATCATTTTACAACCTTTCTTGCCACAGTTGTAAAGTGAATCACTGCAGTTGTTAAGTTGGTAACAAGGTTGTAAAATGAATTTGACTCCCCCACTGCCTTTGCTGGTCAGAAGGTGATCACAAGACCCCAGAATACTGCAACCATCATAAGTAATGAGCCAGCTGCCGAGCATCCAAATCTTGATCACGTGATCAAAATAAGTGTGAAAAATAGTCACTTTTTTTCAGTGATGCTATAACTTCAAAGGATCACTAAACGAAAGGTTGTAAATCAAGGATTACCTTTAGTTCATGGAAAGGCTACTTAAACTTTATAGAGGCAAAAAGGGCTACTCTTTCTTCCAGACCTGTTTCCTTGACATCTTTAGGTTAATTGTAATTTCTAGTTTTTCAGGTGAAGCTTAGGGGTATGTGATATCTTGGAAACAGTACTTCAAATCACCTTCTTTCTCTCTCTTTCTCTCTAAATTCTTTCCAGAGAAAATACAAATGCAATTAAAAAGGCCAGTGTAAAAGATCATTGTATTTTTTTTTAGATCTATGGTCATAATCCAGTGTAAAAACATCTATTACAGAAAGGAACTGATGAGAAGCAAACAAATAGAAATCACTTAGCATCGTTTGAATCCTTCAGAAAAATTGGCTTTGAATCTCAGAAGGCATCTTTCTGGTGTATGTTCCCTCTATGCTCAAAAGTAGTTATTCCTAACTGGAAGTCTAAATGGCAGCTCTACAAACTGTGGGTTGTTAGATGGGGATACATTAAGTGCACAGAATGTCAATCCTTTAAAACATTTTTTTGGAAATGTAAAAGATCTTTGGGGAGAAAATATGCATCCATGTGCTTTTTCAGTTATTATATATCTCCAGGGAGAGTATTAGAAATGCATATTTCTGTTTCTGTAATAATTAAAGAGAACCACTTCAGATTTTTTTGAAAGAGGAATTACCTTTTTATTTTCAGATGAAGTAAACTTTGCTATGTTGTAGAGTTTTTAGAAATTAATTCAAAACTTTAACAAAAGGCAAAGGAAAGGACTTGTGAAAGGACATAGGAAAGTAGAAAACCTGGGTCACAATTGTCCTTTGATTTCAATGGAAATTATTTGAAAAAGCAGTCTCAGGCTGAAGTGCTCATGTGAACATCACTAGATATATTTGTATTACTCAGTAATACCCTAGAAGAGATGGGTGGAACCTAAATTTAATCAATATTTGAATAAATATATTTCTAAATTAACTAACTTCTGTTTCCTACCCGGGGAAATACAAAATATATCTTTTTTGCAATATGCAATATGATGGTCACAATAAGGACCTATTAATTAATTAATACAAAAATTAGAGTAAATACATAATATCCTGAACAGTTTAATAATTACAATTACCAATTAATATCAAAAGCTCTGCATCTAACGGATGAACACCTAATATATATAAAGAGTATCAAGTGTTTGCAGTTATGTAATTATAATTATAAGTAATAATTAGGGTAACAATAGACACACAGAATAATCAGCAGCTGGGTTTGTATTCTGTCAGCATTACATTTTGGACAGTCCAAATAACATACAAATTCCAAACTGATGGAAAATAACCAGGACTCTTACAGTGAGGAAGATGCAGTATTCACTGCAGGATGTTTGTAGATAAAAATAAAATCTTTAAAATGTATTCTCTTTCTAATAACTGTATTTCCTCTAGACAGTGTGTCACATTGTCACAATATACAAACTTTAGCTGAAATGTCTTGCGTGTACACATGCAAAAACTGTAGCGCAGTGTCCTTATATAAAGAGACTATGCAAACTTGGGTTAGTAGAAGTAGTTCCGATTTAACATCCATAATTGGTTAACTTAACTTGGTTGTTAAGTGAAGAGATCACTAAGCTAAACCATGACTGTGCTTATGATCTTACTTGACCTTTCCTTTGCTTTAAGAAATGTATTACCTTTACAGTCTGCTTTACAGACTGTAAAGGTAATAAATGTGAGGATTTTTCTATTTATTTCATTTCATTTTCTATCCCACATTTATTATTATGTATAAATAACTGAAGACAATGAACATTCCTAATACTCCTTCCTCTCTAACCCTAACCCTGTGAAGTAGGTTGAGCTGAGAGAGAGTGACTGGCCCAAAGACACCCAGGCAGTTTTCCATGCCTAAGGCAGGACTATAGCTCATAGTCTCCTAGTTCTAGACCAGCACCTTAACCCTTAAATCAAACTAGCTCTCATCACCAAACTGGGTCTCATCTCATAACAGTGAACAGTCGCTAAATAAGGCAGTCATTACACGAAGATTATCTGTAAATGCAACCCCAGGTGTATAAATTATATTACATAAAAAGATGCAGAAATATTATACCCATTAAAATTATAGCGTTGAGCGATATTAAAACTACTGGATAAAATATACTAGATGCAGAAGTTACAAGTTTTATCTCCTCATATTATACCTCATTTCCATTGAAGAGATGGCACATTTCTGAATCCTCCTCTTTCTCTGTGTTTGGCCAAGCAGACCAAAACCTGTTGTAGGGACCTGGTGGTGGTCCTTTAACAGGGGTCTCCAACCTTGGCAACTTTAAGACGTGAACTTCAACTCCCAGAATTCCTCAGCCAGTTGAAGTCCACAGGTCTTAAAGTTGCCAAGGTTGGAGACTCCTGCTTTAGAACAGCTGAGGGTGGCATGCAGGGCAGCACTGAATGTGGCCCTATATGATTTTTTTGCCAAAAATTCTTAATAATTTTTCATTATGCACCAGGATACTTTTTTTAACCCTCTCAAAAGTATTTATTGTGTATCAAATAAATCCACCTGTGTTTGTTATTTGTTCTTTATTATTTACTTCAGCATTGATTGTTAAACTGAAGTTAGTTTATAGTTTAATAGTTTTAGGGTAAAATAAACCTTATAAAATAAAAGGCTTCCCTTTAAGGGAAGATGGACTTTCCATGCAGTCTGGCCATATGAGGCTCCTGTAATTTGTGCTTGACTGAACAGTAGCATGTGCAAAATGTGAAATTTTAATGTGTTTTGCTGTAGGGCTTAAGCAGTAGAAAATCAAGTTTTCTATGGGAAGATTTCCCCTTTTTTCTTCTCAAAGTTAATATTTCATTTTAAAAGAAAATTGCACCACTTCACTGTGCTTGACAGCCTGAAAGCTCCTGCAGTGAGAAGTCCTTCTGTACCTTGTGATGTTTTCAGATTAAGTTGTCACTTTGTGGCCTGCACCATCTCATTGAAAAGTGACTTTTCTTTATGTGTGTAGACAGTACAAAATGTCCAGCAAAGAAAAGATTTTAAGCTACTTTCCATTCTTGGATGATTTAGTGTTGTAAGTATTTCACTGTGTAAAATTGAAAACCTCTATTTGGCCATTAAGTCTGAATGTTCCTTGTAATAGGCAATTGGTTCAAGAGCAGAGTGAAAAATTATTAAGGATTGTATTAAACTTAGATAACATTTGTGCCATTATAAAACATTGATATCACAAGTAAGGAAGTACAAAAACTAATGAACAGTACTGATATTAGCTGCAATGATTTGTTGATCAGGAGGCTATATGTTCTTGTCAGGTCTCTTCTGAATTATTTTTCAAAACAGCACAGTGAAAATGGATTCCAACTTGAAAGTGACCTTTTCAAAAGAACATTAAATATCTGAAACATAGCTAGACTGCTTTTTGTTTCTTTTTCAAAGCAAACGGTTTTCTTAAAATAAAAAAAGCTTGCTAACATAGTGGTTTGAATGCCTGATATACTTGTATGAAGGAAATAGCATCCTTCTGAATTAAGAAATGCAACCACGTTGTATGACACCATGCTTTGTGCCAGGACATTCTTCTACTGCAGTTCTTTATTTGTATCTAGTAAAGCAAATTCAGTTGTGTTAATTAATAATTGTCCCATAGTTAAATATGCTAAAAGGAGATCTGACATTGTCCTTTATTTCACAATGTGATAGACACTGTTACAGCCAGGAAGCATTACAGTGAATAAATTAGAATTCTGTGTGTAAGGTAAAAAGCTTTAGAGGCAGGCTGATTTAATTAATTAAAAGCCACCGACCTAGTCTACATAAAATGAAACAGTATACTTCAGCAGAAGAATTCTAAGTTTATTTTAAATCTCCTGTGAAATCAATGTGACCTAGAAATATTTGACTGCTCATTTTCCTGCTAGAAGCTTATACTGCCATCTAAATCATCCAACAATCATTCTGCCAAAATAACAATAATAGGGACAAGCTTTATATCACTTAATAATGGCTAGAGGATGTAAGATGTTTAAACCATTCATGGGGAAATGGCCTCTGACTGGCCTTAGAAATATTGTGATCACTTGAAATTGAAAAATAAATCTGGATCTAAATATATAGTAAGTGTCCATGCTTCATTTTCCAAATTTTGGGTCTTTATGAAATTGATAATCCAGTTTTGTAACCAGCTGGAATGTACAGGCAGATGTGCTTGAAGCACATAATTACTCATGTTCTCCATATCAACAGGCTAGATAACAATTATAAGTATGCCAGGTATGGGAATGGAAACTTAGAAATTCTATTCATGGAGGCACTGGAGCCAACCAAAATTTTGGATTAAAGGAAATTGAATAGGTTTTTTTGTTGTTGTTTTTTACTGGAACAAACTGGAAGAAAGGTGAGTTCAAGAAGATAGCCACTCCATCTTCTTTTTCAAACACCTACAAAATTCCATAGAATAACACAAGGCTAGAGATAAAACTGTTTACATATTACTGAATGATGTAAGAATAAGCTTCAGTCCCTGGATATGGATGGCAGGCTACATTCATCACCATGCAATGCTTTAGTCCTGGGTGCAGTGGCATAGGGGTTAAGACACTGATCTTGATGACCAGAAGGTTGGCAGCTTGAGACCCAAGCATCACATGACAGGGTGAGCTCCCATTCTTGCCCCAGCTCCTGCCAATCTTAACAATTTGAAAGCATGCAAATACAAGCAGATAAATAGGTACCACTTCAGTGAGGAAATAACAGTGTTCTGTGCACCTCAGCATATGGTCGTGCTGGCCACATGACCAGAGAAGTGTCTTCAGACAATGGTAGTTCCCTCAGTTAAGAAACAGAATGAGCACCTCTTCCTATAGTTGGACATGTCAGGACAGGAAACCTTTAAGTTTTTTTTTAATCATGGGACACAGTACTCTGCCAACCACTGGCTTCATAGTCAACCCCACATCCAACATTGCTGCACCATTAATGTAGGCAATAATGTGTGCAATTCTTTTCAGGCCAAAAGCAACATAGCTCTTGGACCATCTTCCAAATAGTGGACACGGGTAGGTTAAAAAAAAAAAAGCAATATGAAAGCAATAACTAATTCTAATCTCATTTGATTTAAACTCAATTATAATCCAGTTTCTTTAATTATAGATAGGTTAGTATTCATCATGTATTTAGTAATTGTCCCCTTTTTCTCCTTGCCTCTACCTGTAACATAGAATTCCTTCTTTATATTATCACAGTCAGGGCAGTTTTAGATTACTCTGCAAGTCTTTAAATAGTTGTCTAAAAATAGTCTTTAAAAAGCTAATTCATCCTGAAAAAGAATACCACGTGCTTAGTTTACAATGCCAAATGCACCAATTTTTCCAAGAGTTAAAATTAGTAAGATTTTTTTTTCTTTTTGAGATAAAGTTACAGGTCATATCTGAGGAATTCTTCTACACATGATAATAATCAGGATAGTGACATTGATGATAGAAAAAGAAGTCAAACAATAAAGAGGAAATAAGATCAACATGAAACTTTGGCAAATAGTAAATAGCTATTCTGATATTTCTTAAACATTTGTTTTTAAGCACGTAGACATAATAGGGATGTGGGATAAAAAGGCATGTGGAAAAGAAACTCTGCAATGAAGTTTAATTCAGCTGTCAAATCCAAGGTTAATAAATCAGAAAACAGTATTTAACTATATGCGGTTTTTACATATGAATTAGGAATTACGGTGAATAGTAGTATGAAGTTACTGCCAGTTGTCGTTTCCTTGTTTGCTTCACGAATGGTGTGAAGGACCAGATTTCTCTTCATTCTAATTACAGCAGAACTGATTTGAATGTGAATGTTTGAATTATCTTGTGTTCAGGGTTTCATTTTTTAATAGAGTGAAATTATTACTAACCTCAGGCATCATCAGAAACTTGCCTTCTGAGATCCAAAGCTTATCTTAATTAATATGAAAAAATAAAATTGGGAGTTTGGGCCCTTTGTTTTATAAATGAAAAGCAGCATGTGGACAGAATGTATTGTTTGTGCCTGAACTAGTAGCCTTCATTCCTGTCTGTTGTGTGATAGCTTTAGTTTAACATCCTCCTTTATCTATGTTGTATTAGTTTCTTACTACCGTTTCCCTTCTCCCTCCCTCCCCAACTTTCTTTTTGAAATGTATTTGCTTTAGAAATCAAGTTCCTCCAACACAACCGGGGAGAAGATCACCAAAATGTATGAGCTGGGGACTGAACCAGAGCGGAAAGTTTGGGTCGATCGCTATCTCAACTTCATGGAAGAAAGGGGAACACCTGTAGCTGGTCTCCCTGCTGTTGGCAAGAAGCCACTGGATCTTTTTAGACTCTATGTTTGTGTTAAGGAGATTGGAGGCTTAGCCCAGGTGAGTGATTGTGAGTGATGCCAGATTGTCAAATGGCTTTAATCTTACCTTTGCAGGCAAAAGTAGAGACTATCCTTGAAATACAACTGAACATCATTGTAATCTGCATATTTTCAAAGACTGGGCACTTAAAGAATAACATTTAAACATATTGCAGAGAACCTCGGAATCCAGAATGGCAAGAATATCCAATCAGAAGTCAGAGTGTGTAATCTCAAGAAAAGTGTTAAAATATATTAAAAGGATATGTTTACTTTACTGGGTTTCTTAATCATCCAATCTAATTATCCCCAACCTCCTTCCTCCCAAATAACACTTTTCTGATTGTTCTAAATTCATTTTCATATTAAAAATGATGACAAGTCCCTGCAGCTTTTTCAGGTTTGCCTTTGCCTTCTTCCTGGGGCTGAGAAGGATTGACTGGTCCAACATCACCCAGTTGGCTTTTTGCCTAAGACAGAATTAGAATTCATGGTCCCCTGAATTGTAACCAGTGCCTTAAACTGCTTTCCAAATTGGCTATGTTGAAATTTTGCTGGAAATAAAAAGATGAGAATGAATTTCATCTTCATGCATAATCAGTGAAATTAGACTGCTTATATAAATATCACCTAATATAATTTTGTACACCAGTATGGAACATCCTGTAAACAATACAAATGTGATTTCAAATATAGATACAAAAAGAAAAGCATATAGCTGTGTATGCTATAATTGAAAAAATGCATAGGTGAATATTTTGTTAGATTTGTTTTTAACCATATACACATAACAGGGAAGTGAAAATAATATGCTGCAATGGATCTACATAAAGGATGCATACAGTATACATTTTTGGTCTTCATACATCATCCAGTTTTATTTAAGCAACTCTTAGAATTTTAGTATCATGCATAACCAACAGAATTCATTTCATTCATTAGTATTTTCTCTGTAGAATTTTTAAATAAATGTATCATAGTGCATCTTTTCTTCTGCATAGTGAGTGCTTGTCACCCTTATAAAGGGCCTGGAGTTTTAGCCCCTGAACCAGAAATACTAGCTGAACAAACCTGGAGCTGTTATTTTGAAGAAGACAACACTTATTTGCATCAATGTTAAGCACTTCAAGAATATCTTTATTATTGCCATTTAAAATTTGCTTTTAAAAGCTGATCTAAAAAAAACCACTCAGACTGTATGTTTGTGTGTCAGAGGAACGAAGTATATAAAATAAATTTAATCACACTACACATCACAAGCTCACTGAGAGCATAAAAAGTAGAGATGTAAATAGCAAAGCATTTTATATAAAGTAAGTTTTTTTAATGGTTTGGTAAGTGCAGATAATGTTTATGCATTATTAAGTGTGGGAATAATGGGCATTAGAGTTTTTTGAAAGACATTACTTGTAGGGTTTTTTTTCCTTTTCTGTGTTCAGGTTTTTTATCAATCTACTTTGCTGCAGTTCACTTAACCTGCTATTTTATTTATTTGTGTCTTTGTTCCTTCCTTCATTTCCTAGGTTAATAAAAATAAGAAGTGGCGTGAGCTAGCTACCAACCTAAATGTTGGCACTTCGAGCAGCGCAGCCAGTTCCTTGAAAAAACAATATATTCAATACCTCTTTGCCTTTGAATGCAAGATTGAACGAGGGGAGGAACCCCCTCCAGAAGTCTTCAGCACTGGAGATACTAAGAAACAAGCTAAGATTCAGCCGCCATCTCCTGGTAAGTTGAAGAACTACAGAAACAATCCTTTTTAAAAAAAAATGCACAGGAGATGGAGATACTAAACAACTTAAATCTCATAAAAACATCTGCCACATGTAGATATTCCTAATTAATTTCTGAAGCTCATAAATAAGGGAGGTTTTAGTAGTTCTTGATTACCTATGTCAACAGATCTCGTAAAGGATTTGCATTTATTCATATTGACACGTGCAAATATCTGTCAAATCTGTACCGACATTCTGCATGTTAAATTTAGCTCCATTAATAACTATTAAAATTGTTTACAAGTAATTTCTAATGGAAGTAAAATGCACTCCACATTACTGAAGCAGAATCAGGCTATATTTCCATTTCTGTTGAACTTTTTTTGAGCTGCAAAATTCTAATGGCATTGTTCCAGTAAATGATTTACAACATATAGGAAAATCATTCTATGGATTTCTAATGTTTTTACATTTCTTATTCATAACATTTTTGATGTTGATATTTTTAATGTTGATAAACAAATGTTTATCAGTGATGAAGTTGGGGCAGTGATTTGCTGAGCAGCTCTGATATCACAGAAACCTAGGAAAGCATTTAGAGTTTTTTTATTTGTTTGTTGTGGAGATAATAGAAACCTAAGAATAGAACTATTGGGTAGTATTAGAAAGAAGCGAAAGCAAGAGAATAGAGGCAGCAAATTGCAGATCAGTAGCAATAGCATTTAGTCTTATATACCACTTCACAGTGCTTTACAGCCCTCTCTAAGCAGTTTACAGAGTGAGCATATTGCCCCCAACAATCTGGGTCCTCATTTTACCCACCTTGGAAGGATGGAAGGCTGAGTCAACCTTGAACTGGTCAGAATTGAATTGCTGAACTACAACTAGCAGTCAGCAGAAGTAGTTTGCAGTACTGCATTCTAACCACTATGCCACTACAGTTCCTATAAAAATAGGAAGACCAAACAGTGATCATAGAAAACTGAAATAATACATAATAGCTACATAGAATATTCCAGAGGGGGTAACCTATTGAGATAGATGTGTGGCAAGAAAGAAAAAGAAATGAAAATTGCTAGTAGTTGTAAGAAGACTTGAGAGACCCAAGAAAGGGGAGGAAACATAGTAAAAAAAGCCTATCATAAGTCATAAAAATGTAGCATGTTCTTTTTAAATGCATGCTAGAAGTTTAAAGTGAGAAACTAAAATGATGGGGTATCCATAGGTAGTCCTATTGTAATGGGCGGGGGTTGGACTAGATGACCTACAAGGTCCTTTCCAACTTTGATTAACTGTTAAATATAACTCAGTCAACCTGCTATTTTATTTGGCCATTAAGGGCTCATTCAATTGTTCCTCCAATATGATATTATATACTAGCGCTTGTGGACAGGAACAAACAGATCGGTTTCCTTTAAAAAGAATAGAAAAACAACTCTGCACGCTAGAAACAAACTGAAGAGCACTTAGATCTCTTAGTTCTTTTGTCTGACAAGGTGACCGTACTTCAACAAAAAAAATACTTCACTTACAGGCAGCAATGGAAATTTCCCAAACTAAACAATTATTCATAAAATCGGATTTTATTCATTCTGAAATTAATATTACTGTGGATGTCATTGCCTTAGCAAAATACTTAAGTACATTCTGGGTGTATGTACACACCTACCTATAAATATATATTTGCCAACTGAGAGCAATATTTATTTCTTATAATGAAGTGGGCTTCAGTGCAAGTAAAAATAAAGCTATCAGTCTTTAAAATATTACTTTCCAGAGATGAGAGCTATTTTTTCAGCAGAAATACTAGAGAAAACATTGGTTGTAGATTACTTGCTTTTGTTGAAGTGGAAGTAATCACAAGAAATATGCTGAGGAGTAAAACAGCAAACTTAAAATATTGGGATAAATTGAATAATAGCAACTCCATTGCTGTAATATCTCTGAAAAGCCCTATCGTGTCAATGATGGTGCTGGAACAGTTTTGTTTAGATGGATATTCCATAAACAAAAAGAATCAGTATTAGGAATGATTTTCCGTATAGTTGAACCAATGTGCCAATATTTACTTTTCATCATAACTGTTTACATCTCAGTACCCTCTTAACAGCCTGAAGTAAACAGATTTCAAATGGAAAATCTAGCTTTACTTTGAGTAAAGCAGACAAATGTCAGAGTTCATGGTATAAACATTTAGTCCACATTTAAAGGTCTTATCGGTATCATATTTAGTTCAGAAAGATATAGTTAGACCAAGTGGAAACTCTGTTTTCAAAACAAAAACATGATTACATCTGGGGAAAAATTCACCAGTTATTGTTCATAGATTTTACTGCTGAGTTAGGGATTTTACAAAATATGTAAGGATTAGTCACCTAATTTTCAACACTTCTGTACAAGCAATTTATGGACACACCGACAGTGCAAAATATATGAAGAGAGTTAACAAGGCATAATGGTGCTTGAAGAAAGGAAATAGAAAACTGTTAGTGTTTCAGCTTTCAATTCTTTGAATTACAATTTATTCATAAAAAAGTCAATTACTAAACAGAATTCTCTTCAGTATATACTGAAGGGGAGAAAGGTGTGTGTTTACCAAATTATGTTTTCCATATTCTTCCTAACTTACTGCTGGATCTATAATTGAATTTTACCTTACTGCATGCGAATGTGCAATGCTGAAAAAGCATCAGGACACAAAACAGCTGCCATGGTGGCACTTTCCCATTCATAAATAACTGCCATTGTGGACATAGCTGCATTCACAAAAATTGAGTTTAAGTCTTAAATAATAATTATTATAATGATGATAATAATAAATGTCAGGAAAAACAGCAAATGCTGCTGATGCAATGAAAAAGATGAAACAGTGGATCACTTTATCAGTGACTGCAGCAAAATCTCACAGACTGATTATCTACAATGTCATGATTGATACCAGTATTATACATTGGAAGTTTTGCCAGAAGTTTGGGTTCGAATGCAGAAAATATTACTGGGAATACCAGATTGACAAAATTCTTGAAAATGAGCAAGTCAAGATCTTGTAGGACTTTTGAATTTAAACAGACAGCCCACAACATTCCTGACATCATTAAGGAAAAAAAAAAATCTGGTTCATTGATATTGCAATACCAGGTAATGCACAAATTGACAAGAAACAGCTAGAAAAAATAATAAAATACCGCAATCTGCAAATTGACGTTGAGAGATTGTGGAGGAAGAAATCAATGGTTGTACCAATAGTAATAACAGTCCTTGGAGCAATACCCTGCGTAGATACATGGAAATTTTTAACTTATCAGACCTGAATATTCTAACTTCGCAAAAAATCACTTTTCTTGGAACTGCCTATATACTCAGACATTACCTTAACAATTGTTAAGTTTTTACCAGACTGTGAATTGAAAATTAAATCACCATCATCATCAACAACAACAACAACAATAATAATAATAATGCAAAATATCATCTCACAAAGGCCCTAGGTAATAAACAGCACCAAAATTCCAATGCTACATAAACCATGCACCAACATATAAGCATCACAGACACAAATAAAAATTGAGCAAAAAGTGTGCGTAAATATATACCCAGAGCCCAAGCAAACCTCTTCCCTTGTTTCCAGCATCTCTTTTCTGCATATTTCCAAAAAAGCGTTGTCTTAATCCACCTGTCTATGAGTACCTTTGGCATCTGGATGAGGACATCCTTAAAATTAAGATGTACTGGAAATAGGCATATTATTTTGCGTATTTTAATCTTCCAGTTAAAAAAAATAACTTCTAAAAAGTTAGGGACAGATTGAAAACAAGAAATAACATGGACGTGGAGGCGTGGTAAAGTCTAAGATCACAAGCGTCCCTGTAGTCACATGATCAAAATGGGCAACCAGCATGAAGTTATAATGGTTGCAGTGTTTTGGGGTTGTGTGATTACAATTTATGCCATTCCCAGGAGGCCTCCAACAAGAAAAGTTGGGGGGGGGGGAGCCATGCACAATTCACTTAACAGCAGTGGGATTCATTTAATGACTGCAACAAAAAAGGCCATAAAATCACATGCAACTCACTTACCCACCGCACCACTTAGTGACAAAAGTTCCGATCCCTATCTATCATTAGAAATCAAATTTGCAAAACATGTTTCCATCCTTTGAAATTCCAGCAGTTGAGCTGGCTTTTAACTCAGGCCGATTGATTTTGCATTTCATTTCAATGAAGGAAAAGAGCCCATTTCCACCACCACCACCCCAGCATTTCTGTAATTCCAATGTTCTCAGCAGGCTTAGTTTAGAAAACTTTGAGCCTCAGTTTACAGAGAGCCCAGGGTTTCCTTGGCAGCAGAGAAACAAGTGGGGGTGGGGTGGGGGCAAGCACAGAGGGCTAAGGCAGTCTTTAATTAGTCAGTCTGTAACCAAAAACCCATCTATCTTTGCTGGCAGGTGGCTGACTGCATTTCTATTATTAGCTGACAGGTGATGTCACAAATCTGGCAGGCAGCCAACTAGGGAATCCCCAGCGGAAGATGAAGGAGGAAAGCGGCTGGGTTTATAAACAAAGGTGCCCTTTGATTGACCTTCATTCACGGTGGACATGTGATGTTTCCTAGTAAACCTCCCACCGCTTTTCCCTCCCTCCCCCCTTGTCAGAATTAGGGCACCGAGTTCACGCTGTGTAAATTATCTTCCCAGCATGGCATCTGGCTGTTTAGACTGAAGTATGTGAATGTACTTAACCTTCAGTAACCTTTCCATTGTTTACTTTAGCTTATACATTTATAGCTTCTGGCAAAAGGTAGGGAGATCCTAGAGAGCATGTTAGGCCTCCTATTAATAGAGTTCCAAGAGGCTACATTCATGTATTTATTTGTTTCTTCCAATTTGATGTGGTAGGGAGGGGGGAAGGAAGGGGGAATTGCTGGGCAATGGAAAAGCTTTCATTCACTCCCTGTCTCCCACCCTCTTCTTCCTCCTCTGGTATTATCAACTGGATATTTGAGACAATATAAATTTTTAAAAATGACAGCCATTTCAATGCAATTGTGATTTGGAAATTGCTGTGGATTCTGTGCAAGCCTCAGGGTGCAGCATACAACTGCACAGTAGTGTAGCCAGCAAGTCCAATTGGATGCTTCTGAAATAGGGTAGAATTTAGATTCATCTATTGAGGAAACCTCAACTCATTCTTTCTACTACCTAGATGTTAATCTTGTCAAACTACACTGCTCAAAAAAATAAAGGGAATGCAAAAATAAGACATCCTAGATCTGAATGAATGAAACATTCTTATTAAATACTTTGTTCGTTACATAGTTGAATGTGCTGACAACAAAAACACACAAAAATTATCAATGGAAATCAAATTTAGCAACCCATGGAAGTCTGGATTTGGAGTTAACACTCAAAATTAAAGTGGGAAAAAAACACTACAGGCTGATCCAACGTTGATGTAATGTCCTTAAAACAAGTCAAAATGAGGCTCAGTAGTGTGTGTGGCCTCCACGTGCCTGTATGCCCTCCCTACAGTGCCTGGGCATGCTTCTGATGAGGTGGCAGATGGTCTCCTGAGGGATCTCCTTCCACACCTGGACTAAAGCATCCCCCAATTCCTGTCTGTGGTGCAACGTGGCGTTGGTAAATAGCACAAGGCATGATGTCCCAGATGTGCTCAATTAAATTCAGGTCTGGGGAACGGGCGGGCCAGTCCATAGCATCAATGCCTTCATCTTGCAGGAACTGCTGACACACTCCAGCCACATGAGGTCTAGCATTGTCTTGCATTAGGAGGAACCCAGGGCCAACTGCACCAGCATATGGTCTCACAAGGGGTCTGAGGATCTCCTCTCGGTACCTAATGGCAGTCAGGCTACCTCTGGTGCGCACATGGAGGGCTGTGTGGCCCCTTAAAGAAATGTCACCCCACACCATTACTGACCCACTGCCAAACTGGTCATGCTGGAGGATGTTGCAGACAGCAGAACGTTCTCACGGCGTCTCCAGACCCTGTCATGTCTGTCACATGTGCTCAGTGTGAACCTGCTTTCATCTGTGAAGAGCACAGGGCGCCAGTGGCGAATTTGCCAATCTTGGTGTTCTCTGGCAAATGCCAAACGTCCTGCACGGTGTTGGGCTATAAGCACAACCCCCACCTGTGGATGTCGGGCCCTCATACCACCCTCATGGAGTCTGTTTCTGACAGTTTGAGGAGCCACATGTACATTTGTGGCCCGCTGGAGGTCATTTTGCAGGGCTCTGGCAGTGCTCCTCCTGTCCCTCCTTGCACAAAGGAGGAAGTAGCGGTCCTGATGCTGGGTTGTTGCCCTCCTACGGCCTCCTCCACGTCTCCTGATGTACTGGCCTGTCTCCTGGTAGTGCCTCCATGCTCTGGACACTATGTTGACAGACACAGCAAACCTTCTTGCCACAGCTCGCATTGATATGCCATCCTGGATGAGCTGCACTTACCTGAGCCACTTGTGTGGGTTGTAGTTTCCATCTCATGCTACCACTAAAGTGAAAGCACCTCCAGCATTCAAAAGTGACCAAACCATCATCCAGAAAGCATAGGAACTGAGAAGTGGTCTGTGGTCACCACCTGCAGAACCACTCCTTTATTGGGGATGTCTTGCTAACTGCCTATGCTTTCCACCTGTTGTCTAATCCATTTGCACAACAGCATGTGAAATTGATTGTCAATCAGTGTTGCTACCTAAGTGGACAGTTTGATTTCACAGAAGTGTGATTGACTTGGAGTTACATTGTTTTGTTGTAAGTGTTCCCTTTATTTTTTTGAGCAGTGTGTATATATATTCTTCATTCTCATTGTAAATTTCAAGCCTGGGATAGTTGTGCAGCAAATGCTGTTCTGTTCTTTAACAGACGGGAGTTGCCAGAAGGCCCAGGAAGGAAAATTAAAAACTAAAGCAGGGGTGTCCAACCTTGGCAACTTTAAGAATTGTGAACTCAAGTCCCAGAATTCCCCAGCCAGCAGTTCTAGGGATTGAAGTCCACAGATCTTAAAGTTGCTAAGATTGGTCGCTGCTAGACTAAGTAACACATATTTTGAAGTTGCTACATTGATTATCATGAGGTTTCCCAACTAATTTCAGAGTTGTGGTCATGACCTTTATAGCCCATACAGCACAATCCTGGGACTTATCAGGCCACCCCCTTGCCAGAATTGCCTTTGCTATCTAGCCAGGTCATCAAGAGAGGGCCTGATACAGATCCCAGTTTTGTGAAAGGCCTGGGGCATGCAGCAGATGTCAACTCCATATCCTCCTCCCAAAGGTACCCCAGCCCAACCCTGCTAGTATTTCATACACAAATTAAAGCAGTTCTATTTCAGAATATATTTAGCATTTGACAAGTTTAGTTTTATCGCTGCCTATCATGTTTAGGTTTGGGAGGATTTATTGTAATTGTTTATAGTTAGTTTGTACTGTTTCTTTTGAACTTTAGGATTAGGACAGCTTACAAATAGTATAAAGTAAATAACTTTGCTTAATAACTTGTTATATTCAAAGTGTGTAACATTATAGATCTTTTGTGGTAGACATCATATTATTCACAGCTCTTTATTCTAACTATTGAAGCAGAAATTACTATTTTCACCATATTTTAGGGAGCTATTAGTGAACAGGACAAGCCAGTCACATTAGAGAGGAAAAAAGCTCATATTTTAAGAGCTGATTTAGACATCTGATTGCCTAGCAGAAGATTACTCCATCAGTTTCATCCTAAGTATTTATGAATCCACATCATATATTGGGATCTTCTCACATCAAGACATTAGAACACTAACTTTGCCAAAGTTTATCCTTTATAAGCCCCTGTAAATATAAGGCCCAAATCTTTATTTTGCTGCATAATGCTGTGCTTGAGACCCTGGAAAAACTTCTAGAGAAATGATCCAAATTGAATTGAATTTGTCTTGAGTTTGAAACTATCAATTCAGACAAACCATCAAATATAGTAAACAATACTCCCACCAACACTTGACAGGGCAAGCCACTGTATGTAAACAAGAGCTAATCCCACTTCCTGCAGCATTGAAGATGTTACCTAGTTGGGTAATAAAATGTCTGCAAGAAAATAATCAACCTCAGAGACCACCCAGGATTCTATGGAAATGATCCAAGAACGTTAACTTGGTGTTTCTGACTTTTCTGTTGTGGTCTAAGAGTCTATTCTTCCTGCAAGTTAAGTATATTTTGAAAGGAATTTAGAGTTTCAGATACAGGAATCTGATGCAATTCCATTATATCTGCCCTGTTGCCCATCATCTTGAACAAGACCTGGACAAATTTTGCTTAAGCAGTATATAATGATGACTTCTTAGCCATAACAGAATTTAATAAAATAAATCACATCTCATCTAGGACGGATATTCAAATGAAATAAATGAGATCTGTTCAGAAATCTCTCTCTTTCTTTCTTCTCTGCCTCGGTTTTCTTTCTACCCATATAAGAGTTCACACCTGATTTTTTTTTCCTCTTCTTTCCCTTAAAAAAAAAAAATTCAGCAAACTCGGGTTCTCTTCAGGGTCCACAGACCCCTCAGTCTACGGGGAGCAATTCTATGACAGAAGTGCCAAGTGACCTCAAGCCTCCAACACCAGCGTCCACACCTCATGGACAGATGACACCCACTCAGAGCAGCAGGTACTTTTCTTAGAGCCTTTCAGGATATTGGATCTGTGCTTTGGCAAGTGCAGTCACTGCCCCAAATCCAGACACCTTCTCTCTCTTTCAGGGATGTTGCATTTTCCTGTGACTCAAAATGCAACATGTTGTGGGAAATATTATTGGTATCTGGAAAATGAGTGTCACGGGCATTTCTTGGATGCTGCCCATGACATCATTGATGGTGAGTGGCAGTTACCCCATCTTTCTTTGCCACCATATTGTCAATCTCACCCCTCCCCCTGACCAGGAATGAAAAAAGGAGAGGTATGGGATCTGAAAATGCAGAGGTTCAAACTGATGTGTGAAAGAGTTGCTTTTAATTTCGATTTCCTCCACACACACACAGACCCAAACTCTTCAGTCTTTGGTTAGAGCTGCATTGATGGCACAACTAAAACTGTAAAAAAAGCTTTGCTTTATGAGTAATTTAATATGAGTTTGCAGGATGAAGCTTCTGCTGTTTCACTGTAGAACTCTTTGTGTGTATATATAGATATGTGTGCAACTGTGTCCAGATGTATGCATAAACAACAAGAAAAAATGGAGAAAATTAGCAAGCAATTCCAAGTAAACCATTATCATGGCTTAATCCTATTGTAGAGAACTAATTGGTAAATAGAACAAACTTCTATTTTTCCCTAAAAGGACTTCTCCATTATTTCCTGCAGCATCTGGCTTCAAGAAAAAAAAAACATGTCAGCCCCTCTCAGAAATAATCACTTGTGCACAATTTCAATTGTTTACCAACCAACACACAGGCACATCCATGTACAACCCTACTCACTGATTTTAAAGTTGCCCGTTGTTGTCCATGCGTGTTATTTCAATATTCATACATACAAATGGGCATTTCTTCAGAGATAAAATTTGGGGAATATTCAATGATCAGAGGTTGGATATGATCAGTGATCTTTCAACTAAATTTGCGAGGTTATCTGTTTATATCCATACATTTAATATTGGTGCAATTAAAATGAATAAATTAACTATACAGTGCCTTTTCATAAGGCATAATATTCTTGATATAAATTAAGAAGTTCTGAAACCAAGAATTGTCCTGTGATGCATACAAATGATGGAAAGGGGGCACTGTGTTGGGATGGTTAGACTGCTGGATTGAATTTGAGAAATTTTTGTTCAAATCCCAGCTCTGCTATGAAGTTTATTTTATGGGCCTTGGACAAATAGTTGTTCTCATATTCCACTCTGAACTTCTTGGCTCAGGTAGAGAATGAAGTACTTGAACACTTGTTCTATATATTTTGAATATCTCATATATCCTATACTGTTAAGGCAACAGTGGTGATTTTCACAACAGTTTAACTTTCTGAACTCTATGGATCACCACCTGATCAGGCATTGTTCATCTATAATTGTGTCTCTATAACTCAAATACCTTCTTATGTTCTATCTCTTTAGAAATAGTTCAGTCAGTGTACATGATCCCTTTTCGGATATAAGTGATTCCACATACGCAAAGCGGAACTCCATGACTCCAAATGCACCCTATCAGCAATCAATGAATATGCCAGATATGATGGGAAGGATGCCCTATGAGCCAAACAAGGATCCTTTTGGTGGGATGAGAAAAGGTAACTGCTGACATCATTTGTGCGGGGAGTTGACTCTATGTATGTTTGTGTACATCAGTTCCTAGATTCCTTCTCCATCTTTGTATTACTGAGGAATAAAAAAAATATTTTTGATACTTTGCTTTTCTCTGTCTTTCATAAGTAACTATACTATTGTTTTGGAAGTTAACAGGTAAGTGCAGTGGATTTTTGCCAATAAGAGTAAGAAGTTTCTTTTATGATACAGAAAATTACATGGAAGAGGTTTTATAATTATATTGTTAGAATTATACCAATAGTTTCAACTTAGGCCTAGTACTTTTCTGTAAGTAACAGGATTTGGTAAACTCAGATTATGTAATATACAAGCCAGTTATATTATATATATAATATATGTCATATCACTGTATGTCTTTAGTAATATGATATAACATATATTATTTTAATCTAAATCTTAATGTAATCACCAGTTGTCATTGTCATACTTCATTTAGATGAGATAGGACTGCTACAGGAAATTTACAGGAGTAAGTCAGCATGCTATAAAGGAATTTATGTAATGGTTTAAAAATGTGTCTGTGCCCTATAACATTCTTGGGAAGAAGGTGCTTGACAGGAAAGTAAGAATCTCTTGCAACAGTTTCACATTATGGAAACCTTCTCCAACTTCTAGATTTTTAGATCTGGATTAATGTCTCAGCAGTGTCTAAAATGTGTAGGGATTTGAGTAAAATTAATCATTTATATCATGACTTCTGCTAATGAGATTCAAATCTCTTTAAAAGTCATATGTAAAGATACATAAAAATGCAAAGAAGTCATACTGAATCTTTAGCAGAATTTGTGGAGCAATGCTGTACTTTAAGCAAAATTCTGACTGTACAACAGGACTAAATTATTTCAGAAAACCTGAACAAAAATGTCTCTCTAGAGTGCCTTTCATGGCTAGATTCTATTTATGTATGTACAATATGTAGGTAGGTTTCTATATATACAGCTGTAACAACTATTTTACATTCATAAGAACCTTGTAGTATACTTCAAGATGAGATAATGACTGAGTCATGATTTATACTAGACAATATTCTGTATCTCTGAAATCATTTATTACTGAAATCATTTATTACTCTTACATCCCAAGGAGATTTCCAAAGTGACTTCCAGTTAGAAATCTGAAAGCAGGAATAAATAAAAAAGCAATAAAACACGTAAATCAATAAAATAAGAACAGCGTTTTCAGAGTTAAAGCAGAAATTTAAAGTGAGCAAATGTAAAGAACTTAGCAAAAACATTTATATTTAGTGCCCAGGTTTACCAACCCTGGTCACTTATATTTTTTCTGGATGCAGTATTCCAAAGCCAACATCAAAAACTGAAGAGATTTGTGTTTTATGTCACCTCCAGAAGGGAGAAAAAAACTTATGGATAAATTGATGTTTTAGAAACTATCCATTATATGGTAGCCAGTAGATATTTAGACATCTTCCTTTGTGTAGGTTGAACTTAGAGAACAAAAATAGCTGTGATAATAATGCTAATATATTGATCCAGTGGAGATTTGTAAGTTAGTAGTAGACTCCTTTCTTGAGAAAAAAAAGCAGAAAACTCAAAAATTGCCTGAGATTTTTATTTGGGTTTAAAATTATAAAATACACAATGGCATTATAATGGCACTGCTGCTGAAGTAAGTTATCTCCTCAGTTCTGATAGTGTTTGTTGAATTATCCTGTTTCAGTTCTCTGAACATCAATGATATTTAATAATTCTTAATAATATATCTTTCAAATAACATAAAGCCATATGTTTTCTTTCTTTCTTTCTTTTCTTTCTTTTATAGTGCCTGGAAATAGTGAACCCTTCATGGCGCCTGGACAAATGCCCAACAGTGGCATGCAGGATATGTACAGCCAGAGTCCCGCTGCAACCATGTCCAACATGGGCATAGGCCAACGGCAACAGTTTCCCTATGGAAGTGGTTATGACCGGAGGTGAGACTTCATCAGCTTCAAAACACAGAGAAAAATGGTGAAAAGATTCTGCATTGTCACTGTCCTTCTAACAGACCATTTGGCTGACCATTTAATGCTCTTCAGAAAATCAGCGAGAGCAAAACCACTAATAAAAGACTGAATCTATTTTGTGTAAGAACTAATAAGTGAGTGTGTGCTGAATAAGGAGCACCTTGTCTCTAGAGAGCTCTATTTGATGTTCTTTTGCTTAATCAGATTTCAGCATCACTATTCTCCCTCCCTCTCTCCCCCCTCCCTCTCTCTCTCTCTCTCTCTGTCTCTCTGTGTGTGTGTGTGTGTGTGTGTGTGCGCTTAATGAACCAGCCTCTGGGAAATTGCACCTTTTTCTGATGGTTTTGTGCTATCTGTTGTAGAGGAGTACATTACAAAAATCTACGTAAACAAATAGATTCTCATTTCCAGGATAGTCATTTAATACATCCCAGCCTCATTAAAGTCAACAATACTTCTGTTTGGATGCATATCCTCATTCACATTGTGACCCAGCACATATAACTGACAAGAGGTTGGAGTCAATATCCTCTGGTATGCAGGCAAGCAATATGCTCACCAATGTAGAAAACTGGATACCTCTGATAGGTAACAGAGATATATTCCTTTCCATCCTCTTCCACCCCCAATTCAAAGATAAGCCAATTCAAAGATAAGTTCTGTGCTAGCATCATAAGATCATAAAAAAGATCAAGATTTCTCTGCCTAGTTGTGCCCGACACTAGGGGAGGCAGAGCTCCTTTCTGTTGCCTAGCTGAGGGAGCCAGTGTTTTATTTATTTATTTATTTATTTATTTAGAAAATGTATATTGCCACCTACTCGCACATGGAGACTCAAGATAGCTTACAGAACATAAAAGCACAATATAAAATAAATATAAATAATAAAAATAATAACCTATGACAACACATATTCATAGCACCATTTAATGCTGTCTGGTAGTGTTATTTCAAAGACACTGTTACCTTCACACTGGAGTGATACTGATTTGTTTACTTGCATGCTTTTGAACCATGTAGTTGGGTCTCAAACTGCCAACCTTTCGGTTGACAAACCCCGTGTCTTAACTACTAGGCCACCACACACACCCTTGCTATAAGGCCATAGCTAAAGAGAAGAAAAGAGAAGAGTTGCTAATTGGATGGAATTCAGTAGAGGGGAGATCCTTTTTTGGAAAAGCAAAATGTCCCCTTCAAAAAAAGAGGAGGGGTGGTGAACAATGACTGCAGAAGCACAATGAAATGCACAAAATAGCAAAATCTTTTTGTGGTTGTTGTCTTCAAAATAAGACCATTTACAGTAACATTCAACCTGCAACCTAAAAATTTGCGCTATCACAGTAAAGGTAAACATCTTGTCATGTTCCAGTATTCTGGAAAAAACCAATCCATGCAGAATGTGTTTTTCTCTGCAACCTGGCAATGGGAACTTTCTGGATTAGCATTATCTTGTCTGCCAGAAAAGCAGCAATACGTTGTAATTTTGGCTCGTTTGTTGAAGTATGTTCTTCTTTATGGATAACTTTTGAAAAATGGTACTAAGAAAATTGACAGCAAGAAAAAGATTATATATTAAGCAATTAACTTTCCTAAAGCAATAGAGAATGGTTTATGTCATTGTTTTTTTACTAAAAAGAAAAATAGTATGAATTCAAATCAGTCTCCATCACTGATCAGAATATTAGAAATGCCATTGGATTTTTAAATCAAAAATTGTTAAAATTAATCAGATTCAAAATGGTTTAATTCATCATATAAATGCAGCCTCTAAGAATTATGATGCATTAATTTTTTTATTATTTTTGAAAAATAATCGCAATATTTTAGAAAGAGAATGACTCTAAAGAGTAAGAGCAATGATATTGAGGGAGATACCCAAGGTTGATTGCCAATATCATAAAGAGTAAAGTTCATAACATTCAGAATTCAGGAAGAAGACTGAATCCTAAGTAAGCTTCATGAATAGATATAAAACTTACAATTGCCTAGTTCTTTATACATCAGGCAAAATTTACAAACAAGCTGCATGAGCTAGCCTCTAAAATTTTATTCATCAAAAAGTCTGCAGTGGCCTATAAAACATTTTCAGTCTCAGAGAAAATGTTGGTATTGAAATTGGCTATTCCATAAGTTTTTTTAAAATTTCATTTTAATTCACCAGACTTGGAGAATAAGTGCTTTCTACAGTGTGAAGTTTCCTTTGTCATTTTTAGGTTGCATCATGGGCTGGGTCCTGAAGGCAGTATGGGAGCATCTGGTCAAAGCAACATGGTGCCTTCAAACAGTGACCCAAGCATATACTCTCCTAACTGTTATCCTGGGCAACAAAGGTGAATAATTTAATCTGTTTAAAATACCTGTGTTGACAGATAATCTTAAAGACTACTGGATAGGAGGTGCAATTTGCTACACTGGATTGCTGTATTGCATTTCATGCAGATTTTCTGCAAGACATTTTTTGTCATAAGCTTTGGAGAATAATGATGGTTGCATGGCTGCATGGTTGGTAGATTGTTTTATGCTTTACTTCGGCTTTTCTTAAGTTTGGATTCTAGAGATGGATTCATTTGGAACATGTAGAGAACTTGCGATTACAGCATTTTTACATATTATAAAACCATTCACCAGAGAATCCTTTTCTCAGCCTTTTACTTTACATTCATTTGTAAAACAGTGAGGTTCTCAAATGTTTCTTTGTTGATGTCATTTCATAGATAAATTAATTGAACACGTGCTTGAAATACAGGCTGCTGCTCTTTCTCTCAAACCCTAAAGTAGATCAGTTTCACATATCGCTATACAGTTATAACATGACTTATCTCTAACCTAATTTAACTAACACAATTTAAGTTGCATATATTTTTAGTGACAAAGTAGATCACTGAAGTTCTTGAATTTCAATTATTTTCACTTGTAGCAGATTTCTCCACTTTAGACTACTGGGGCAATATAGATTTTTTTAGAGGTAGTATAAATCAACCAAATGTGTAGTTAATGTAACAATGCAATAATCCAGGAAACTGCATTGCTTGGGAAATTCGCCCTCTTTTCTCCCATGGTAAATGCCTTATCTTTTAGGCATTTGTCTCAGGAGTAGCACACAGACTGCTGTGTCCAACCAAAACTTTCCCATTCTCCCTTGCTCCATTTTCTGTACTTTGCTGCTATATTGTGTCACTTCTGATCATGATATTCGTGCTGTTACCATAATATTAGCTAGCCCACTGATATCCTGGTTGAGCTCATGGTGCTTACAGTCAGTGCTGGAGGTTTATTTGCTGAAAACCATTCAATCTGATGTGGGAGAATTTGATTACTGCATTTAGATGTCACATTGTAAGAACAAATGTAAACGTTTTGTCTATTTGGATAAAGTATATATTTGTTGATGTTGTTGTTAGTTGCGAAGTCATGTCCGACCCATTGCGACCCCATGGACAACGTTCCTCCAGGCCTTCCTGTCCTCTCCCATCCCCCAGAGTCCGTTTAAGCTCACACTGATTGCTTCAGTGACTCCAGCCACCTCATTCTCTGTCGTCCCCTTCTTCTTTTGCCCTCAATCTTTCTCAGCATTAGGCTCTTCTCCAGTGAGTCCTTCCTTCTCATTAGGTGGCCAAAGTATTTGAGTCTCATCTTTAGGATGTGGCCTTCTAAAGAGCAGTCAGGGTTGATCTCCTCTAGAACTGACCAGTTTGATCACCTTGCAGTCCAAGGCCTCACAGGAGTCTTCTCCAGCACCATACTTCAAAGGCCTCAATTCTTTGGCACTCAGCCTTTCTTATGGTCCAACTTTCACAGCCATACATTGCAACTGGGAAAACCATAGCCTTGACTATACTCAGTTTTGTTGAAAATGTATTTAGATGGTGCTTTTCTCCAATTCCAGGTAAGTTTGAGGCTGCACCTAAAGCTCCTATGTTTGGAGCCCAATAGATAATAAGCTCATTTAAATCATTTAAAAGAGTGATTATTCGCTGATTTTATTAGATATGTTTGTAATCTTAGTATTGTTACTGTTGTTTTACATTTCATTATTTCTTTGTATTCCAGTTCAACTATCTTACTTACTTATTTTCTTACTATCTTATTTCAGATTTGTAATCTTTTTTTAAAAAAAATCTAATATTAGAATGGCTATTAGGTCATGCATTACTCATTTATACATAAATCATTTTAAAACTGCAACACTCTGGCAATAGTAGGTAATCATATATTGTTGCCAACATTCTGAATATCAAGTATGGAATCTGCTTCAACCAGTCAGTTGCATTTCTTCTCAGTTACAGTACGTTAGTCAGATGCTTTTGTATTAAAGCTCATTCAGACATTGTCAAGTGAGATTGAAGAATATGGAATCATAAACTGCTAAGTCATCTGAAGAAAGGTGAAACATGTCTGCATCCAGGCCACGTGTTGTTTGACATCACTTTTTCCCCCCAATATTGGTATATTATTACCTTATAAAAGAGTAGATAATGTTTCTAAGAGAGTGATCACTGATTTACTCTGCTACATTTGTATTGAATAAGACTGAATGGAACTGAGTGTATGTAATCAAAAATTAAAACCACTTCATTTTTAAAACCTTGTACTGCATTTGGTGGAGAACAATTTGATATGAAAAAAGAGGATGCCGATTTTCAGGCTTCATGAAGGATAGAAACTGTTTTAATGGGATAAGAAGTTTCAATATTTTGAGGCATTTTTGAAATCATAAGCACTAAGGTACAGCTCATATTTTTCATTGCAGGCACGAACCATATGGACCGCAGTATCCAATGCAAGCTCCTCCTTCTGGACAACCCCCCTATGGAACACACCAATCAGGAATGTTTCCACAGCAGCAAGTAAATAGTTTTATAGTATTCCTTTTGCAAAATTCACTCTAAAGATCTAAGCACTTGTTACTGGCAAAAAAAGTAAACAATGGACAACGATATTTGCTACTTTGGAGAATTTTATATTTGTATCTTTTTATATGGAATGTTTCTTAACAACAATTGGCTAATGTTATGAATGATACAGAACATTCACTAAAACTATTCTGTTTTATTGACTGAAAAATTAATAAGAAAGCATAGATAATTAACAAGATGTATCCCAAATGGATCTATGTGGTAGCAGTAAATTTAAAGGGGGGGAAATTGTAGGATCATAGAACTGTATAATTGGGAGGAACTACAAGGATTAGCTAGTCAAATTCTCTGCAGGGTGCAGGAAAAAGAGTTAAATCACTCATAAGAAATGAGTGACCAGAATCTTTAAAAATCTCTAGACATGGGGAACCCATAGCTTTCATAAACAGACTGTTTCGTTGTTGGTATAAAAGCAGAAAGGAAGATAATTCTGCCTTCTTATTTAAAACTTATAAGGATATTTCAACTAGGGAAAAAGGGAGCATAGTTAGGTGAATCTGCAGAAATTGCCATCACCTGTCCTCCATAATAGGACAGAGCAATTAGTGTTGAGGTAGCCTTTCTTCCACAGCATTCCAATTTTATTTATTGGTTGATTTGATTCATAGCTAATAACACTTCAAAGTAAACTATTGGCAATTAAAAATAAGTGGAACCTACAAAAAATTGTAATGAGGATTTTACTTCTTCAGGGCTTCATTTAGCTAACAAGCATCATTTACAATATAGTTTTTTCTTCTTTCCAATGTGAACTGTTCATATACTGTTTAATGTTTGGTATACTATACAAATGATATACTTAGAGTGTTCATTTCTTCCCATTATTTCTTTTTACTTGTTATTACATATTATATGTTCCCCTGATTTTAGTTTTATTATAGTTTGTTTTGGCATTTTCTTGTATATTAATTGGGGGGTTTGTACTGTTGTGTATGTTTCTAAATAAATAAATAATATTATTGGCAACATTTGGCCACATAAGGATCATCACAAGGAAAATGTGTGTGTGTGTGTGCAAGCTCAGATATTCCATCTATATGTCTGTCACTTTCAAAACATGTAAATCAATCCACTAACACATCTAACACATATAAAACCTCAAGCAAATATCATTAAATAAAATTCTAAAGTCTAAAAACATCTTAACTAATAAATACCTTTTTATCAAACTTCCTGATCCCTCTTCCAGAACTTAATATTGGAAAAGAAATATTAAGACACTTAATTATAAGGCATTTACTTCAAAACAATTCCTAAAAGGAAACTGATATCTCATGTTATGCCTACAGTCATTGATACTAAAATCATTATTCATTTAAAATGTTATGCACTACATATGGACAAAATTTCAACTACCTTATGCATATTTATTCAAATAATTAAAAGGTCATTGTACATCTTTCAAACACTAATGAAGATAAAGTTGATTATTTGCATTGAAAATATTATGAGTATATTCTACCACACTATTCTACCACACGAATGTATAAGAATATATAAAAAATAATATTTTATGCTATTTAAAATATTTGGTGTCCTTTTTTTCAGAACTACAAACGGCATATGGATGGCATGTATGGGCCTCCAGCAAAACGTCATGATGGAGATATGTTTAACATGCAGTACAGCAACCAACAGCAGGAGATATTTAACCAGTACAGCAGTGCTTACTCTGGACCAGACAGGAGACCCATCCAGGGACAGTATCCATATCCTTATAACAGAGAAAGGATGCAGGGTCCTGGACAAATGCCACAACATGGAATACCTCCGCAGATGATTGGTGGCCCTATGCAGACATCAGCTTCCAGTGAAAGCCCCCAACAAAACATGTGGCCCACAAGAAATGATATGTCTTACCCATATCAGAACAGGCAAGGCCCTGGGGGCCCTGCACAGGCCCCACCTTATCCAGGGATGAATCGTACTGATGATATGATGGTACCTGACCAGAGAATAAACCATGAAAGCCAGTGGCCTTCTCATGTCAACCAGCGACAGCCTTCTTACATGTCATCCTCTGCTTCCATGCAGCCTATTACTCGACCTCCTCAGTCATCCTATCAGACGCCACCATCAATGCCAAACCACATATCTCGAGCTCCTAGCCCTGCATCTTTCCCACGCTCTCATGAAAATCGTATGTCTCCCAGTAAATCTCCATTCCTATCCTCTATGAAGATGCCAAAAGTTATGCCTACTCTTCCAGTCTCGCAGGTCACAGGTCCTCCAATGCAGCCACCATCATCTATTAGGAGGGAAGTCACTTTTCCCCCAGGTTCGGTAGAAGCATCCCAACCAATTTTAAAACCAAGGCGAAAGATTACCTCAAAAGATATTGGTAAGTCTTCCTATTGTCCTTACAGAGGAAGACACTTTTTACAATAATTTTGTAGAGGTTGCGTGTATTTGTATTAATTCACTTAAGCAATTAGTTTTATTAAATTGAAGCTGAGCTCAGATTTATTTTGTAGTAGTAATAATGATTTATGTATCATCAATAAAATACAAATAAATACTGAATATTTAGGGAAGTATAATGGTTACAAGAGGTACAATATTGTATTATTTTAAGATGATATTGTTCTTATTGTGCACTTTCATAGTATTTTATATTGTTTATAATTAATGATTGCTTATGATCTCAGAACAGAAGTCTGAATTCACATACAATGCATCTAGTAACTCTTAAACAATAAGCATTTGAAATTTTAACTTGAAAGCTCTCTTTCAAGGAGTAAAGTTGTTAATGGAGCAGTAACTTGACAAAAAGAAAATGTTAAAATATATGTAAAGGCTGAGGAAGCTTGTCTTGGAGGAGCACTGTTACTTGGAAAATTGATCTATGAGATATGATATTGACAAGTTCTGGACATGCTGATCAGTCATCTTCTTTCTTGAAAGAAAGCAAAGATAGTCTTATTGCACTGATATATGCCCCATTTTCTGAATGGATAGTATCTTGTTGCATGTTACAGAGATATATAGATATGTTTGGATATCACACAAGCTGTAAATACTATCCTTCGATTGCTAGCTTTCCTTCCCTAAAAGGAAACTCCAAAAGAATTGGCTTCCTAGCAGTTTTTTAAGAACAAAAATTTATAAATGTATGCTTTAAGTGAGCATTGTAAGAGTGCTGAAGCAAACATAATTTTTATTTTTCTGAAGAGGAAGAAGCTAATAAATAGACAGCAGTAGTGATATTTCCCCTGTCTCAACCTCTTCTACTGGTATTATAAAACTGCTTTTTCTCTACAGCAGAGGTGGTATTCAGCAGGTTCTCACCAGTTCTGAAGAACCAGTAGTGGAAATTTTGAGTAGTTCAGAACAGGCAAATACCATCTCTTGACTGGAGATTTTACAGTATCCTTCCCCTGCCACGCCCACCAAGCCACACCCACAAAACCAGTAGTTTAAAAAAATTGAACCCCACCACTGCGCTACATCTTCCTACTCTAAAGATATGGACATTAACTGAGTTTTACAGAATTAAAGCAGAGCACATCATCAGAATATACAAAGTTTCCACAGTGTACCACAAAGCATGTGTGACACATGTACACATGTATTTGCAAATTAACTGAGATAAATCCTTACTGTCTCTGTCAATTTCCTAGATTTTAGAGAAGGTCATCCCTTCTGTTTCACAACAGTCTAGCTCTTTTCATACGATTATATTATAGGGCATCAAAAATCATTTGGAAATACTTTGGAACTTGTGCAAGTATAGCACTCTGCTCTTTAAAAAAAAAGAAAAGAAAATTGTCTCTGTTTTCAGGTTTCAGATGCTGCTGCAGATTTCTTCTTAATAAAAGCTTTCTTGCTTTCTTTGTTTTCAGTGAGTCCGGAAGCCTGGCGAGTGATGATGTCTCTTAAATCAGGCCTTCTTGCAGAAAGTACTTGGGCATTAGACACTATTAACATTCTTTTGTACGATGATAGTACGGTTGCTACGTTCAATCTCTCGCAGGTAGGTTGGTTATTTTACACCTCAGTGTCTCCATTCATTCTGTAAATGGAGGGGGAATCCCACATTCTTTGCTGCTATGCTTTCCAGTGCCTGAGCCATCCAGTTCCCCTTAGGAGTAGGGCAAGTCCTCGGAATACCACAGAAGATACACAGTTTATAGATAGTGGCTCAACAACACACATGTTTTCCTGTTCTCTGTAATGTAATGGGGAGGTAAGGGTGAACATTGTCATGGCACGGGACTGTTTTTTTTGCTCGACTCAACTTGTATTACACCAATCTGTGAATGTAAAAGCTATGAGTCTTCTTGTTCTGACTGCTAAAGTAAAATAAGGTAAGACAAAGAAGTATACAAATAACTGTATAATTATACAATTGTATAATTATACAATTATAGAAGTAACACTTATGTACTGTTTCACAGTGCTTTATAGCCTTCTAAGTGGTTTACAGAGTCAGCATATTGCCCCCAACAATCTGGGTTCTCATTTTACCAACCTCAGAAGGATGAAAGGCTGAGCCAGGTTTGAAGGAATTGAACTCTTGGCAGTGAGCAGAATTAGCCTGCAATACTGCATTCTAACCACTGCACCACCACAAGTCATTATATTCATAATTATAACTCAGGATCATATGTAATGGTTCATATGCTTTGAAAAGAAAGGACATTTTCTTTGAAAAGAAGACTCAATTCGCTTTTACAATCACATGGACTAAATACTACTCAAAAGTAAATTTTAAGGAATTCATAATTGTTCACTTTTTTATTACTGGTCACTTGTATTAAAAGTATTTACTGAACACCTGTATTAAAAGTATTTTTTTATGTGTAAATAGGAAGAGAGGACTAACCAATTCTGAATCTTCTAAAAGGGAATCTAAAGATCTTTTTTTTTCCTAAAACAAATCCGTTCTTGTTTACATAATTCTATAATGATCTAAAATGTTCCTTTTACCATTTTTTTCTGTTTTTCCTCTCTTTGTTTCCCCAGTTATCTGGTTTTCTTGAGCTGTTGGTGGAATATTTTAGAAAATGCCTGATTGATATTTTTGGGATCCTTATGGAATATGAAGTGGGATATCCAGGACCAAAACTGCAAGATCATAATTCATTTCCGAATGAGGATGGGCAGTCTGCAACGGAGGATGTCAGGAAAGAGGAAGAGAACAATGATGAATGTATAGATTACTTTGATGACCTGGAAGATGAGGAGGAAGAAGAGGAAGAAGATGAAACTGAGAACACAGAAGAAGGAAAGAATACTCTTGTAGCTCCACCTGATGCCATTCTTGATCCAAGTGAGAAGCCAAAACAAGCCAGTAAGTTTGACAAGTTGCCAATAAAAATTGTAAAGAAAAACAACTTATTTGTTGTCGACCGATCTGATCGGCTGGGGCATGTTCAGGAATTCAACAGTGGGCTTCTTCATTGGCAACTTGGTGGGGGTGATACAACTGAACACATTCAGACCCATTTTGAGAGTAAGATGGAGATTCCTGCTTGCAGGCGGCCATCTCTATCAGTCTCCTCAGGTAAAAAGAAGAACATAGAGGGGAAAGGAGAATCTGAGGAACAGCAAGACAAAAGCATATCAGCCACTATTGATGATGTCTTGTCAGCTCGTCCGGGAGCATTGTCTGAAGACCCCGACTCTAATTCTCAGACAGATAGTAATAAATTCCCATTTGGGATCCATCAAGTGAAAAGTCATCGAAATATCAAACTGCTGGAAGATGAGCCACGGAGTCGAGATGAGACTCCTCTATGTACCATTACCCACTGGCAAGATTCTTTGGCCAAGCGTTGCATCTGTGTTTCAAATATTGTCCGCAGTTTATCTTTTGTGCCTGGCAATGATGTGGAAATGTCTAAACATCCAGGCTTGGTGCTAATCTTGGGAAAGTTGATTCTTCTTCATCATGAACACCCAGAAAGAAAGCGTACACCACAGACATATGAAAAAGAGGAAGAAGTGGACAAAGGGGTGGCCTGCAGCAAGGATGAGTGGTGGTGGGACTGCCTTGAGGTCTTGAGGGATAATACATTGGTCACACTAGCCAACATTTCTGGGCAGCTAGACTTATCTGCTTATACAGAAAGCATCTGTTTGCCAATTTTGGATGGCTTACTGCACTGGATGGTGTGCCCATCGGCAGAGGCACAAGATCCTTTTCCAACTGTGGGGCCCAACTCAATCCTTTCGCCTCAGAGACTTGTACTGGAAACCCTGTGTAAACTCAGTATCCAAGACAATAACGTGGACCTCATATTGGCCACGCCCCCATTCAGTCGTCAGGAGAAACTGTATGCTACTTTAGTTAGGTACGTTGGGGAACGCAAAAATCCTGTCTGCCGAGAAATGTCAATGGCGCTCTTATCAAACCTTGCCCGAGGGGACACGTTAGCATCAAGGGCAATAGCTGTGCAGAAGGGAAGCATTGGAAACTTGATAAGCTTCCTTGAGGATGGGGTCACGATGGCCCAGTACCAGCAGAGCCAGCATAACCTTATGCACATGCAGCCTCCGCCTCTGGAGCCACCTAGTGTGGACATGATGTGCAGGGCAGCCAAGGCCTTGTTGGCCATGGCCCGGGTGGAGGAAAACCGCTCCGAATTCCTTTTACATGAGGGCCGCTTGCTGGATATCTCAATATCAGCTGTCCTGAACTCTATGGTTGCATCTGTCATCTGTGATGTACTCTTTCAGATAGGGCAGTTATGACACAAGTGAGAAGCAAGCATGTGTGAGTGGAGATTAAAGGGTCACATATAACTGGCTGGTTTCTGTACCTGTTTATCCAGTGTAGGAAGAATGGGGAAAAAAGAAGAAGAAAAAGTAGAAGAATCTTTGCTCCTCTGCCCCATTCACTATTTACCAATTGGGAATTTCAAAACATTAATTTGAACAGTTATGGGATTAATATTTGCTGTCTATGTGTATAAGTACATCTTTTTATTTTATTTTTTTAACCAAAGTCTCTCTCTAGTACATTCAAAGATCACATTTCTTTTTTCATAGCTATCCTTGCTCATGTTTGTTTGTTTTCCCCATGTTTGAATCATATTTTTCGGGGAGGGGAAGCAACCTTGAATTTTGGGGGGGGTGTCAAGATATAGAAAAATACGATTTGATGTTGGGAGAAAGGGGCATGCCACTCTCAAATGCAAAAGTGGAGGGAAAAAATGCTGAGCTAATGTGCTTTTTATTTTTTAAGAACAAAGGAAATTCCAACCATCCTTACTGCCATTGCCCAAAGTGCTGTGTGCAATAGAAGAATTATAGTGATATAGGTGTGGCGGATGGCAAAGGAAAAGGGTGTCAGATCCTCATCTGCCCACATTTCTTGGGTTCTCTGCAGGAGAAGTTACACTATGCTAGGAGCAAAACCAATTCTTTAAGAAAGTAAAAACAACTCTGAAGACGATCAACACAAATTGCTTCCTCACCAGAACTGTCAACATCAATATCTATTGTTTGACCTTCCACAATGACAGTTCATTACAATTTCTTTAAATCATTTTTTTAAAATATTTTTATTGCCTAAAGGCAGTGTTGTATATAGAAGTTGTACATTAAACATACCCTCATCTTTTTAAAAAAAATAAATAAAACAAGTACAAGGATTTATTTTTTTCATGATGTGGTAACTACAAAGTGATGGTAGACTTAATTTTATTATTATTATTATTGTTATTATATTATTATATTATTATTATTATTTTCTTTGGGCCATAACTCCAAAAACTAAGAAAAAAAACACCACGAGGGTAATGTACAAGTTTCTGTATGTATAAAGTCATGCTCTATTTCGGGAGAGCAATTGCTCACAACTTACTTTATAAATCAAGATGTGGAAATGGTTACGTATGGATTGATTGAAGAAAATGGTTACCAGTCTACAGAAAAAAATACATATATGGGGGGGCGGGAAAGAAAACACAACTTCAAAGATTTTTCAGTGCAAAGAATACACATTTGTATTTCAAAATAATGTAGTTTAAAAAATACAAAAAAACTTGATGTAAATTCCTCCTTTTCCTCTGGCTTAATGAATATCATTTATTCAGTATAAAATTTATATGTTCCACATGTTAAGAATAAATGTACATTAAATCTTGTTAAGCACTGTGATGGGTGTTCTTGAATAATGTTCTTATTTCTTCATGAAATCCCAGCCATTTCAGACAATGATGGTGAAGGTTATGTTTTTCTGCTTACCCTGGACTTCATCTAGTATTCAGATAATGCAACATACAAAAATATTAATTTTTTCCATCATTATTTATGAAAAAGAAGACTACAGAAGAAGATGAGATTGCTAATTTTCACTGTGTCTACGAAAGTTGCTGCACTCAAGGTATATGTGTATGCTTGAATAAAACTAAAAATGATCATAGTTAGATTGAGTTAGCTTATACTTCAGCTTTCCTGAGTTAGACTTAGCATTTTAGATTTATTTCTATTAACTTATAAAATTAATAAGAGCTATGCAATAAAAACAACATTATTAAATGTAATAATGATCAAAACAGTGACAAAGGGTCAGAGATGTAAAAGCTAGAAACTAAAAGAGATCCAATTGCCAAAAAAGGGCTTTTTTTCAAGAAGGGTTAAGAGAATTAGATTCTTTCCCCAGCTCTGAAAAAAATAAGAGAAAGGATTCCTGACAGAATTGTCTCCAAAGGAGATTATCTTTCAAGGGTAGTGTGCAACTACAGGTAGTCCGTGATTTACCAGAATTTCTGTGGGTAAGCAAGGTCATTGTTAAGCAAATTGTGCCTGATTTTATGATGTTTTTGCCATGGTTGTTAAGAGGGTCACTACAGTTAAGGCACTCATGTTAACAATTCCAGTTTCCCCCATTGATTTTGCTTGACAAAAGCCATCTGGAAAAGTCAGAAATGGTGATCATATGTCCCTGGGATGCTACATCTGTCATAAATACACAACAGTTGCCAAGTGCCCAAAATTTGATCACGTGACCAGATCACTGTAAACAGTTGTTAAATCTGAGGATGCATTGTAAGTCTCTTCTTTTCAGTGCTGTTGTGACTTTGGTCTCTAAATGAATGGTTGCAAGTCAAGGAATTACCTGTGTGCTCATGTGTCAACATGCAAAAATAAATGAGATTAACCTTTGAGTAAAACTATACAGAAGAGGTGTTCCTTCAGATATTGCATTCCCAAGCAGTGCTAGGAAGTTTGTAGAAATTAGCAATACTGTAATATCTTGATAATCATGAGGTTCAAATCATAAGTAGCGTTTTTCAGTGGATTTTTCCACGTTTCCCACAAGCATAAACGTCAAAGATGTGGAACGTGGTCAAAGATAGGTCTTCTTTCTTTGCTGGTATAGTCGCCCTAGACAGGAAACATGACATAGTTCTGGTATCCATCTTGTGCTAGAGAAAAATGCTACAGGCTCTCATGTTGTGCCTGAGCATGTATTGGCCTATGCAGCTGTCTGAAATGGTCTAGGCTAGCAATTTCCAACCTTGGTGACTTTACAACTTGTGGACTTCAACTCCCAGAATTCTGAGAGTTGAAGTCCACAAGTTGTAAAGTCACTAAGGTTGGAGATCCCTGGCCAAGGATGTTGAAGACAAACCTTTTGAGCTCAGCATTATCAAAACTGCAGAAAATTCCTAAGCTGACTTTGATGGCCTCTTTCTCTCATGAGCAGACATACATAGGAACACAGACAAAAGAGAAACCATTCATAGGAAAAAAGTAATTTATTATTGAATTAATAAATACTTGCATCGTAAATATTTTATGAAATGCCTATCCGAGGCAACTCCAGGCCTGGAAACCTCAAAGAATGCTCCGGAAAGAGCAGGAAAGAATTCCCTGGTCTTGTGCTCTTTTTGGAGGCTCCTGAGGCTGCGTGAGAGCAGGCCCCCTTGCACAACATCCAATAGGTCTTGCAGAGGCTTGGCGTGTCACCAGAAATAACGTGTCACCTATATCACTGGTCTGGATTAACAGCAAGGCCTGAAGAATTGACTAGTAAGAATTGTTCCTCACTGTTAGTTCATTTCATTTTGAGTATTGTACAGGCAGAAAGTGTTGCTGTTCTATCTTAATTGGCAATAAGAGTTGCTTGTATATTATAGTTTTATTGCTTTTTTTACTGATCTTGGGCTTTCTGGAAAATATGTTACCCCCAATAATATGTTTATTGTTTGGAACCATAGGATGCCAGGCAAAATGAGTACCATTATTATCCCAATTCACCATGTAACTTCCTTGTGTTCCCCCTGACTGTGCAATTTTCTCCTTTCCCCTCTCCCCCCCCTCCCAATTATAATCTGTGCACTGGTAACAGTTCATTCATCTTTTTAACTTACATCTAACAATGTATTCAGAAATTTATGTTAAATGATAGCCCACTGGTAACTGCCCTTCATGAAATGAGGCAGATTTAGGAAGCTATAAAAGCGTTCTGGGGTCCTTTTCATTCTTAATTATGTTATACAACAACCTTCAAATGTCTTGGCCATGGCTGGCCGGGAATTGTACAACTTGAGTTTATCACATTGGGAAAGTGCTGCACAAAATTATGTTCAGGGTCCTAACTTGACACTTTTTTTCAGCTCAGCGACAGCTACAGCTGGCTATAAAAATGTATGATGAAAAAGGAAGCAACTTCATATGCTCAGTGGAACAAATATAGAGCATGATCGTTGACTGGATTATTTAATGCTAAATTTGTATGGATCTATTAGAAGAAAAATTATTTGCGGGGGGGAAACAACATTAAAACAAGTGAAATTTTAAAAGTTTAATAGCATTAATACATGTGGAACAATCAGTATAATCTGGCTAGTGTTTTGACATAGAAAATTTTTTACTAGCAGAACTCTGAGGTTGTATTCATACAGGTTTTTATTAAGCAAATAGGTGCCATTTGATAGAAAGAATGCTGTGCAGAGTATGTTCTAAATGATAAGATATATTTTGGAATGTTACTAACTAAAAATTGGTTGAAATTTTACCAATGTTGCCTTGGAAATAATGATGAGAAGGTGTTTCTGATCATTATTTTTTCTGCTAATTTAAGCAGGTATCTGATCTAAATTATATACTATAGAGAGATCAATAAAATAGAGATTAGGGTCTGTTTCTCTTACATAGTATCAAGAAATTAAATCCATTGAGAAAAAAAATCATCCTCCATATTTAAGGGAAAAGTTGATAAAAGACCCAGTGTAAGAACGAACAACTTGAAAGTTTCAGAAAGATTTAAGGAGGCTTCAGCAGTGAGCTGAAACAGATTGGACAGAGTTTAACAAAAGGTAAAAGTTCTACATTTGGGTAGGAAAAAGGAATTGCGTAAATAGAGGATGAAGGATACCTGGCTTTCAGTACCGTATATGGCAGAGATCTGAGTAAATATGAGCCACTTGGGTTGCAGTAACAGCAGCAAAGTTCAAAGCATGGGAAATTAATTGTAACGCTTTCATGACTGTGGTTTTATCACATTGTAAGCCACTTGAGTCACTGAATAGTGAGATGGGTGACATACAATAAATAAATAATCGTTCCACTCCACTCTTGAGCAGACCCCATAGTTTAAGAAAGGCTAATGACAAATAGAAGTTCAAGATGGTAAAGGATCTGGAAACCAAGCACTTAAAAGAAATGCTTAAAGGTTCTTGATACGTTTAGTCTACAGAAGAGAGAACTGAAGAACGATATAATCATGTTTGAAGGGAGCTAAAGGCTGACACATAGAAGAAGGGGGTGAAGGCAGGACCAGAGCCAATGGGGTAAAAATGCAAGAGAAAATATTCAGCCAGTGCAACAGGCTGCTACATGAAATGGCGAGGTCTGTAACCAGAGGCTTGATGGTCATCTGTTAGAGATGTTTTTTAAAATCCTTGCAGAAGTGATCGTTTGACTCATGTTATCATTGTAGAATAACACTGCTGTGTTATTTGAGATGTGTCTGATTTCCTATTTACTCACGGAAAAGAAGAAATATTTGCAAACCCAAGCATCCGAGACCTTGACCTGTAAAAATTAAGGAGGCCATTCCCTGAAAAACCAACTTGTTGCACTTGCAGTGGCTTTCGTGTATTAAGAGCAAAGAGATCTATTTCTCTGGGTGTTCTTGTCATTACCTTTGGAAGAGAAAAGAGGGGAGGTAAAGCCTCTTGCAGTAATATGATCATAACAAACAACAGCTTAAGTCTACTTTGGCTGAAGGAGTTTATTTTTGTTGCTTTGACTCAAATTTGTTTTTGTTGCTTTGACAGCATATTGGTCGCAATTTTATATGACATCTTTACAGTTTTAGGACACAGAGCAAAAATAATAAATTTAAGTTACAGGAAAGTGAAGTCTGACTGAATATTAGGAAGAAATGTCCTAACCTAGCAGTTTAACAGTGGCACCAATTCATTAAATACACCCAAATTCTTGACAACAATCGCTTTATAGTATGAATGGCCACACTGACAACAATTTTGAACAAGACAAACTGTGACTATGAATTGACAGAAAAGGAGTAAAAATATTACATTTACTCTATATGATTTAAAATTATTCGTGAAAATGAAAGCAGGACTAGATGATTAGGGGACTGGAGGCTAAAACATATGAAGAACGGTTGCAGGAGCTGGCTATGTCTAGTCTGATGAAAAGAAGGACTAGGGGAGACATGATAGCAGTCTTCCAATATCTGCCACAAAGAAGAGGGAGTCAAGCTATTCTCCAGAGCACCTGAAGGCAGAATAAGAAGCAATGGATGGAAACTAATCAAAGGGAGAAGCAACTTAGAACTAAGGAAAAATTTCCTGACAGAACAATTAATCAGTAGAACAACTTGCCTCCAGAAGTTGTGAATGCTCCA